GCAACCTTCTGCACCAGTCAGATGTGTTACTGTGGGGACATGGTCACAAGCACCAGATCCCTTTTGTGTAATTAACATAGGGTCATTTCCTCACTTCTCAGTTGCACAGTTCAATGTTTGCGATCCAGGCATCCAGACGGTTTGGGATTCTCTGGGTTTGGGAATTCTGTGGGCTTCTGGTCCTTTGATTAGGAGATGTACCAAGTAAGGTGAAAAGTCAGTAAACAGGAGGGGAGGGTGCCTCAGGGAATACTTGCCTTGACCATTCAGAAACATCCTTCTCCCCCCTGCACCCCAGGAAGTTTTGAGGCACCAGCCCTTCCCCACAGTGATGCTGGTCCCGCCTCTTCTGCAGGACTTCAGGTTCCAGCAGCTACAAGAACAAATTTTACTCAGAAGAAATGTGAGGTGGGTGGGGGAGAGTTCCTTTGATACAGGAGTGTCCTCAGAACTGGCTGGCGCCAGGGGAAACTCTACCCACCCAGGGAATGCTGGGGGGGAGCAGACAGAAGGAAACGCTGGTGAAGGTCAGTCGTCCTCCCAGGAGCGTGTTTGGGAGCCTCCCGGGATCTTAGCAGGAGCCGGGGTCCTACCTGGAGGATACAAACGTGGCCTGGGGACCCGACCTGTCGTGTCTCTCCCTCCCTATGTTCACATTCTTGGAAGGGACCTGCAGGACTGACTCCCCAAGTCATCCTCCCAGAGACCGACTGGGCAAGCTTGACCACCTCTCCTTTCCCTAAGTTCATGTGCCTGGCCCTCACCTGCCCCCCTTGCGTGCTGCTGTGGAAGTCCTAGGGGCTTGGGACAGGCCAGAGAACAAAACAGACCCGGCTTTCAGGGAGGTACCAGCCTCTTCGAATATCTGAAGAGATTTGGACAGGTGACAGGCACAACACAAAGGGACACAGCGATGAGGAGGTCACATGGTGGGAATGGGGAGTCTCTTCCTTCCAGCCCTTAACACAAGAGAGTCCTTGAATTACACTTATGAGCATGACGTTGTGGTTTGTTTGCTCTATTTTTAAAAAAAGGACAATTGCTACTTTTTTTCTCTTAAAGAGTAAAATATATTATTTATTGATTTTTAAAGTAGGCTCCATGCCCAATGCTGGGCTTGAACTCGTGACTCTGAGATCAGGAGTCCCATGCTCTACTGACTAAGCCAGCCAGGTGCCCCTAAAATATGTTTTGTAAAAGAAAATTTGCCAAATACAGGGAATTCTGATGAGAAAACAAAATTGCCCATAATCAAACATCTCAGGGAAAATCAAGGCTGTTGTGATGATTTGCAACTTTCCCTGGTATTTTTCTATGTCTGTCTATCCTTAAATGTCTTTCTTTTGTAAAATTCTTTTTGTAAAAGAATTTCCTCAGTAATACTATACTGGCAGGTATTACCTATAAACTTGGTTTTTTTTAAATTTTATTTATTTATTTTATGTAAGCTCTATCCACAAGGTGGGGCTTGAACTAACAACCCTGACATGAAGGGTCATGAGCTCTACCCGCTGAGCCAGCCAGGCACCCTTAATGTGTATTTTAAAAACAGCTTTATGGAAGGAAAGAAGGAGAGGAGGAAGGAACTTCAAGCAAGCAAGAAAAAGTTTGCAAAACTTGGCTACCCCAGTGGAGAGCCCAATGTATTTCTTTTAAATGTCTGTAGAACTGGTTTAGAGGAAATCTGTGATTCATCAGTCTTACACAATTCACAGCGCTCACCATAGCACATACCCTCCCCAATGTTTATCACCCAGTCACCCCAAACCTCCCACCCCCCACCACTCCAGCAACTCTAAGTTTGTTCCTGGGATTAAGAATTCCTCATATCGGTGAGATCATATTCATTTTCTTTTTCCTTAAAGATTTATTTATTTATTTTAAGAGAGAGCAGGGCTGGGGAGGGCCAGAGGGAAAGAGAGAATCTCAAGCAGACTCCCCACTGAGCATGGAGCCTGACACAGGGCTTGATCTCATGGCCCTGTGATCATGACCCTGAGATTATGACCTGAGCCGAAATCAAGGGTCAGATGCCCAACCGACTGAGCCACCCAGGTGCCCCTCAGAATGTTCATTTTCAAGCAAATATTGTGAGGCGTGCAAAGAAATAAGATGGCCCATTCACAGAAGTTAATAGAAATTCTTGGTAATCTCAAGTATAGAAGTTTTATTTTACTCTATAATTATAGGAATATAAGCATGCCAGAATTTCCAACTTTTTAAATGTAATTCAAGCCAAAATAAGTAAATAAATAAATGTAATTCAAGCCTAGAGAAAAGTTGCAAGAATAGTCTATGAATTCTCATATTCTCCCCACCTAGATTTACTGTTTTTTAAACATTCTGTCACATTTTTTATATAGGTATATAAATCCAAACACATGTATACATATTGTTTGTGCTATTATTATCATTTTCTAGATCATTTGAGAGTAAGTTGCAACATCCTGACCCATAACTTCGAAATATTTTCACATGCATCACACTAAATTTTAGCATGTATTATGCTAAAGAACAGAGGCATTCTCTTATATAACCACTGTAAAATTACCAAATCTTGCAAATTTAACATTAATACAATAAGAATATCTAATATATACAACATACTTAGATTTTACAAATTGTCCCAGTAATGTATTTTATACAAAATTTTTTAAATTCATCATCCAATCCAAGATTATGCATAACATTTAATTGTCATGTGTTTTTAATTTCTTTTGACCTGGTACGTTTCTCAGCCTGCCTTTGTGTTCCTGACATTGATCTGTTTTTGTTTTTGTTTTAATATTTTATTTATTTATTTGAGAGAGAGAGAACATGAGCGGGGGAGGAGCAGAGGAAGAGGGACAAGCAGACTCCACACTGAACATGGAGCCTGATATGGGGCTCGATCCCATGACCTTGAGATCATAACCTGAGCCGAAATCAAGAGTCACACACTTAACTGAATGAGCCACCCACGTGCCCCCTGACATTGATGTTTTTGAAGAACAGAGGCCCATTGATTTTAGAATAATCCTCAGTTGGATTGATCTGATTGTTTCTTCATGATAAGACTTAGGTTATACTTTTTTTTTTTTTTTTGCAAGAATATACAGACATGATGTGTTCTTCTAAGGAAATTCTAAAGCATTGGCATTTGGAGAAAAAGACGTTAAGGGGTTTGTACAACAGGAGAATAAAATGGAAGCACTTGATCCTCCCAATATAATAACAACTAATAACAGTCAATATTTATTAAATGCTTTTTTAGGGGCGCCTGGGTGGCTCAGTCATTAAGCGTCTGCCTTCGGCTCAGGTCATGATCCCAGGGTCCTGGGATCAAGCCCCGCATCGGGCTCCCTGCTCCGCGGGAGGCCTGCTTCTCCCTCTCCCATTCCCCCTGCTTGTATTCCCTCTTTCGCTGTATCTCTCTCTGTCAAATAAATAAATAAAATCTTTAAAAATAAATAAATAAATGCTTTTTAAAAAAGTAATCTCTAGGGCCAATGTGGGGCTTGAACTCATGACTGGGCCAACGTGAGGCTTGAACTCACGACTCCAAGATAAGAACCACATGCTTTACAGACTGAGCCAGCCAGGCACCCCTAAATGCTTCTTGTTCTATTTAGTCTTCACGATAATCCATAAGGTAGGTACAATTATTATGTCCATTTCACAGATAAAACTGTAACTCAGAAAGGCTAAATCACTCATCCAGGGGCACACACCAATAAGTTTTGGAACTGGAATTTAAACCATGGATCAGACTTAACAACTGAGGGCTTAACCATTATTGCACACCTGTCTCTGAAAGACTAATAGCACTTTACTGAGAAGGCAGAAGAGGTATGGTAAAAAAAAAAAAATGTCACAGAAATCATGACCTTGGTTGGGACCCAGTTGGAGGAAGAAAATGATCATCTGGGGAAAGTTTGAATATATATATATATATATAAAAAGTAAACAGGAGAACTGCTGACAAAAATCACCAACTCAAACCTCACATGGGAGAAGAAAGTCAGGCTCAAATTCAGCTCCTAGGGTACAGTATATGAACTTGATTCAACAAAGCTGATCCAAGGGTTTGGAGCTTCAACAAAATTAGAGGTTGTAAAGCAGCAGAGAAAGACTTCTTCATGCTCAAGGCCATACATCATTCCCAACCTGCTCAGGTAGCTAAAAGACTCAACAGTTAATAAGAACAAATATGACGACCTCAGCTCTCATTAAGGGGAGAATTCTGTCACCATATAAATAGTGCTCAGATAAAAAAGATGAGTCAAAGAGAATCCATCAAAGCAAGTATTTTGTATAAAGAGTAGGCCCTGGAAGATCTGTTTATCTTCAAAGATGACTAAATTGAGTTCTTCTTATGCTCGACTAGGAGTTTGGACCAGCCCTCCCATGAAGAACAACTAGAGAAGCTAAATAAAGTAAAACAAACAGATGGAGCTACCCAGGCAATGAAAATTTGCAGAGACCAGATCAAGACGAGGCAAAAGAGGTGAGCTCTACATTTGAGTCCACCCTTCTCACTAAGATAATTGCTGATTACAAAAGCAAACGTGGTAGTTAAGAGGCTGAAAACACTGAAAAGATGCAAGCTCTCTGGGTGGGGGGACAACAATCAGAGTCCAAGGCCCACCACGGAGGAGGAGCCCTGATGAACACCACATGCTTCCACTAGGAGCACTGAGGGGCTGGAGCATAACTGGGTGAATTAGAAATAGACCAGACAGCTCCAGGATGGAAGTCCAGCTTAAACCCTGATTGCCTGTTTCTCATTACCTTATTTTTACCATTTCATTTTAAATTTCTGATTTATTGACTATCACTGGGTATGGTGTCTTCAGTGATATTTTAATTTTTCCACATAGTTCATGTTTTCCCATATATAATTTCACTTATTAACTGCTTTTTTTATCCTTAGTCTTTTTTTTTTTTTTTAAGATTTTATTTATTTATTTGACAGAGAGAGAGAGCACAAGTAGGCAAAGAGGCAGGCAGAGGGAGAGGGAGAAGCAGGCTCTCCACTGAGCAGGGAGCCTGATGCGGGCCTCAATCCTAGGACCCTGGGATCATAACCTGAGCCGAAGGCAGCTGCCTAACCGACTGAGCCACCCAGGCACCCCTTTATCCTTAGTCTTAAGTTTTATTTTAAGGGATCATCTTCATTTTCTTGTAACCAGCTTAGAAGATAGCCACCCATTTGGTCAGATTTATTTATTCTTCAGCAGTTGAAGCATTTAAGATGACAGTTTTTACTCTAAATCCTTAATGATATTATATATACTATACTTGAGAATGTTCTCCTTTCTCATGGAGAAAAAAAGCCCAAACATAAACCTTTAGATTATCCATCTACTAGTCCTGCAGCACAATCTTAATAAGAAAGTTTTACTGATAACTGGACAATTTATTCATTATGGCAGGGATATAACAAGAGTGGTTGTAAAGTGGCCAGTCTTGTAAGCCAGGAGCTATGATCCTTGATCCACTGCTCAATCCACTTCAATATCTGATTGATATTCTCCTCTAGATCTTCTGATTTACTGCTGGGCAGTTGAGGTACTACTTCTTCCTTGTAGGGTGCTAATGCTTCTTCATAAAGAACTTGAAAAATTTCACAGTGAATATTGTCTTTTAGTTTCTTTTCATTATAACCCCTTGTTTCAAGTCTTTTGTACAATACACTGTCATCTGCTTGCAGCACAAAAACTATATAAAACCAGCGTTCAGGGAAGAAATTACAACCATGGTAATCAACAACAACTCCACCTTCGCTCATTTGGTTTTCTAATTCATCAACTACTCTGTCTTCATCTAAAATGGGGCATTCATACTCTTCATCATAGCCATCATATAACTGCCCTTCTTGAGCTATATCACCCACATTAATGTATTTCAGTCCTGATCTTGATGCAAGTTCTTTGCCTAGCGTGGTTTTTCCAACCCCTGGTGTACCAGTGAGCAGGATGTTTGGAAGCAACATGGTCCTCACCACACTGGCTCTGGGTGTCACTAACTGCTTTTTAAAACACAATTTCCAGGGGTTCCTGGGTGGCTCAGTCAATTAAGCGGCTGCCTTCAGCTCAGGTCGTGATCCAGGGTCCTGGGATCGAGCCTCACATTGGGCTCCCTGCTCCGCGGGAAGCCTGCTTCTCCCTCTCCCACTCCCCCTGCTTGTGTTCCCTCTCTTGCTGTGTCTCTCTCTGTCAAATAAATAAATAAATAAATAAATAAATAAATAAATAAAAACCCAACCCACACAGTTTCCAGAATTTATCTAGCTTATTTCAAGTATTATTTGCTCTTGTTTATTTTTGAATGGATTGTGCTTTCATTATTTTCGTCCTCTTAGATTCCTTAAATTTTTTGTTTTGTTTCCCCAAAGTCTAAAATATTTAGTCAGTTTCTTTATTTTTTCACTTTCTTTTCTAATAATGAAAATATTTAAAGTGATATTACTTTTCCCTGAACATTTCTTTGGTCTTTTCTTCATGAGTGTTGATATGGTAGTCTCATATTTTAAAATTATCAAATAGAAATACATTCCTAAGATCTATTCATTTTATGAGCAAAATGACCAAAAAGAAGTCTGAATCTAGAATATGTAAACACTGAAACTTACTTTAACAACATAAACAATGCTACACTCTAAATATCAAGTCAAGGGGCGCCTGGGTGGCTCAGTCGTTAAGCGTCTGCCTTCGGCTCAAGTCATAATCCCAGGGTCCTGGGATCGAGCCCCACATCGGGCTCCCTGCTCCACGGGGAGCCTGCTTCTCCCTCTCCCACTCCCCCAGCCTGTGTTCCCTCTCTCACTGTGTCTCTCTGTCAGATAAATAAATAAAATCTTTAAAAATAAATAAATATCGAGTCAAGTTTACCATAAAAAGATTGAACACTTATTTTTTTTTTAAAGATTTTATTTATTTATTTGAGACAGAGAGAATGAGAGAGACAGAGAGCACATGAGAGGGGGGAGGGTCAGAGGGAGAAGCAGGCAGGGAGCCTGATGCGGGACTCGATCCAGGGACTCCAGGATCATGACCTGAGCCGAAGGCAGTCACTTAACCAACTGAGCCACCCAGGTGCCCTGAACACTTATTTTAAAGTTATAATTGGCTTGTTCTAATAATGCAAATAAGTGAAAAGAAGGAAAATGTATAGGTCTATTTTATGATTATAAATCAATGAAATTTGCAATAATAATATGTCAACTTATATACAGAAAAATTAAGACCTCAACTACTGAGAAATTTAAAGTTACCATTTTAGGGGTGCCTGGGTGGCTCAGTCATTGAGCGTCTGCCTTCATCTCAGGTCATGATCTCAGGGTCCTGGGATCGAGCCCCACATGGGGCTCCCTGCTCAGTGGGAAGCCTGCTTCTCCCTCTCCCACTCCCCCTGCTTGTGTTCCTTCTCTCGCTATCTCTCTCTCTAATAAATAAATAAAATCTTTAAAAAAAATAAAGTTACCATTTTAGTAATAACAGAAAACATGAATAGAAATTATGGCAACTCTTAAGTATGCTCCACTATTGTCACTTGGGTTTTCTTCTGTTGATACCCATTCTGGCCTGTGTCCTGCCACAGGTATGATGACTACACACTAGAGGCACCTGGCCAACAACAATTGGAAGGTACTTCTGGAAACCAGAGATATGAAAATGCAAAAAAAAACCCTGATTCCAAAAAGTTAGAATCACGGGAAACAGCAAAGTCTGCTTTTCATAATACAGCAACAACCATGCCTGGTTTCTGAGCAGCTGGTAAATTGTGTGTCCCCTGCCTGTGATTTTCAGATTCAAGCTGAGAAGTGCCTTCAGTCATAGTCTATTGACTATCTTTGTAAGTCTTTATGAGTAGTAGTAGTATTGTGGGTATCTACACAGCACACAACAGAAAGATGTGTTAATTTCGTCATCCTTATTAGAATTTTGCAGTTTAGCTAGTATGTATATTTTATTTTATTCTTTTATTTCTTTAATTAAAAATTTTTTTTTGAAAGATTTTATTATTTTTTTAGATTTTATTTATTTATTTGAGAGAGAGAATGAGAGAGAGAGAGAGCATGAGAGGGGGGAGGGTCAGAGGGAGAAGCAGACTCCCTGCCGAGCAGGGAGCCTGATGCAGGACTCGATCCTGGGACTCCAGGATCATGACCTGAGCCGAAGGCAGTCGCCTAACCAACTGAGCCACCCAGGCGCCCCCCCCCCCCAAATTTTTTTTTTAAGTAGGCTCCATGCCCAGGCTGGAGCCCAATGCTGAGCTTGAACTCAGGACCCTGAGATCAAGACCTGGGCTGAGATCCAGATGCTCAACCGAGCCACCCAGGTGCCCCTATGCAGGGTTTTATAAACCGTGCTAAGGAGTTTATGTCTTATTCCAGGGCAGAGGGAAGTCACTGAAGGGTTCTGAGGAGAGGGACATAAACAGATTTAATTTTTCAACGTTCATCTTGGCTGTCTTGAATAGCATGGATTAAGAAAGGCAAGATTAGATGTGGAGAGACTATTCAGGTGACTATGGTCATCTGGACTGGAATGACAATTGATTTCTTCTGGTTTCTGAAGTGAAGAACTGGAGTGTTTCTGCACAGAGGAAAGGAGTATCTTTCATCTGGTCGCTCTTTGGCTCAAGGAGAGCGGCCCTTCTAGTACCAATGTTCATAAACTCCAGGTCCGCACAATTTTCCACTTCAAAGCCAATCTTCGTTCTTGCCTCTTTCTCACATCTAACTTTTCCTTGTGAACTCATTCCTATATCATGTTTTTTCTTTGTATCTCGTGGTTCAGGACAATGGCTTCGCAACCGTGCCTATGGTTTTTATCAGCCAGAATGCTTTCAACAAAATCACTAGCACTCAGTTTACAGATTTGCGGCTTTATTGTAAGAATGAGAAAGGCTAAGGAAAAGACTTTGTGTAACAGACCCCCAACCACCACCAATCAATAATCAGACACTGAAAATATGTGGAGCTTTAAATTTTTTGTTATTTTTATTATTATTATTTTAAGATTTTACTGATTTGAGAGAGAGAAATGAGACAGCGACCGAGCACGAGCGGGGAGGGAGGGGCCGAGGGAGAGGGAGAAGCAGACTCCCCTGCTGGGGCGGGAGCCTGATGTGGGGCTCTAACCCAGGACGCTGGGATTAGGACCTGCGCCGAAGGCAGATCCATAAGCAACGGAGTCACCCAGCTTTTACAGGACAGCTTCTCATCTTACTCAGAAAGGAGACCTATCGGATGAGGTATGATCTCCATCTTAAGGCTGGTACCGAAGGCCTGCAGTTCTCTCCCCTGGCTCTGCCCCCTCCCCCCGCCCAGGACGGGCACCGATGTCCCCGAGCCCTCTGGGAAGTGGAGTCCTTCCGCCGGGACCCCCGACCTGGCGCGGTCGCCTCCAAGTGCGCAGATGCGACTCCAGACGGAGCCTCGGGCTCGAGCCTTTTGTTTCCCCGCAGCTCAGGGAGTCCGGAGAGCGACTCCGTGCGCCCGTCCCGTCTTTCCCAGAGCGCAGCCCTGCGGGGACCCGCCCCGTGGCCGGAGCCGAGACCGCGGCGCGTCTAGGGGTAAGAGAAAGCTGGGCCCGGGGCGCGGGTCTCTCCGACCCGCCGGTCCAAGCGCGCGGCTCCAGTGCCCGAGCCAGGCTCTCAGGTTGCGGCCCCGGGGCTGGGGGGAAGGGCTGGGCCCTGCCCGCGCGTCCCGGGCCCAGTCCCCCGCGCTCTGCGTACTCCTCCCGCTTCCCTGAGCGGGAGGCGAGCCGGGTTTGTGGGTTTAGCGCTGAGCGAGGAGGTGTCCCGGATGCGCGGTTGCCGCTAAGCCCTCTGGGAAGTGGAGTCCGGGAGCTTGAAGGAGGCGTGGCCGACAGGGGGGGTCTTGGGAGCGGCAGTGCGGAGGCCGGAGAGCTTGAGCGCCTCCCGTCCGTTTGGACCTTAAGTCTTGCCACGCTACCAAGAGCCTTAAGGTTCTGAACGTGGGGGACACAAAGAAGAAAATGGTGTCCGTGTCTCACTCATTACTCTTCTGTGATTTGCTCTATCAGAGTTTGGGGGCCTGCCTGTATTTTGCAGCCAATGCAAGGGGTTGAATCTTTTCTCTCTCTCACACACACAGCCTGGAATGCCAGGATTGGGTCAGAGGCAGGGAGAAGCTTTGTTGCCATGCAGTTTGCAAACCTGGGAAATGCAGCCTTCGGCTACAAACCAAGAGTACACTCCCAAGGGGAAGGATTAGGCTCCGGGTTAAATAGGCACAAACCACAAGTTTCAGGTGCCTAGTGACAAGCAGGATACAGTTAATAAGTTAATTTCTGGTGGCAGTTCAGGATGTGGCAGCCATTCAACAGGATGTGCTGCAGGCATCTTTTTTTTTTTTTCTTGCAAATTTTGTTGAATTTTGTGCCAGCTTGTCACCTTAGGCTGTACTGACTGGTTTTGTTCCTCATGGTCATTCAGCCTGATGAAAAGTTTAGTTTTTCTCCCTTGACAGGTGGGAAGCCATTTTGTCTGTCAGTTATTACTGTCTAATTACTGAAGTCTTTTGTTCTCACTCTGACCATGCAAGGGAATCCCTGTCTGTACATTTTCAGGGTCTTTAAAAAAGAGCAGGTGGGGAATCAACTGTATAAGGGCCCCATCTGTCAACTGCCTGTCTTTATGAATAGTAAGGATGAACCAAGGGTGGAAGCCTTGTTTATAGTTACTGCTGCCATAATCACAGGCCACATAATCATATGGCCAGTTGTATGCTTTAGGGTCTTATGGGAGTTTTGCACAGTCTGGAACCAAGTGTGAGGCTCCCAGTTCCCTGCCCTGATTCTCTCCTGGTTTTGTCCTGGTGTGGCATGTAGTGACTGATCTCAGTACTCTAGAGAATGGTCTTCCAGCTGTGGAGATTAATTTAGCCTAAATAATAAAGGTTTCAAGCAAAGAAGAATTACTTCTGAGGCCCTAGGACTTAAATGCAGAAGAATAAGCCTCCTAGGAGTAGAGATAGAGAGAGCGGGATGCCCCAGGGAGCAGGAACCAATTCCAGAGGATGGTGAGCCTAACCTCAAAAATCTCTCTCCAGAGCTTCAGAGTAGAGTTGAATGATTTACACAAAGAAGCAGATTATGTATTGCTGAAAAGTTCATATTTATCTCTTCTGAAACTGTAAAGAAGAAGGAAGTCATAGCAATAACAGGACAAAGAAAGAGAAGCTGATCATGGATTATCTGACCATTGAAGCTGAGGAAGAAGGTAAGAATTACAGAAATAGCCGTGGAAGAGAGAATATTCCATTTTGCTTGCTTTTCTGATAAAAGGTCACGCTTTTCCACTCCCTGTTAGACTATTCCAAAAGGTTGATGAATTGTGGGTCTACAAGTTTAGATTTTTGGGCGATGCACTTTCACTTCATCATCTTACTCTATCCTCATCCCACCTTTTTGAGTTAAGTTGAGTAGGCCTTGAGTATATAATTTAGCTGGCTTGTGATAGTTTTCGTCTCAGTGAATAGAGTGTACCTCCTTCATGGCTTTTTTCCTCCCCAGTCCTTCCAGCCATTACTAGTGAGGATGCTTCTCTGCCCCAAAAACAGAACACAGAAGAAATGGAACCTACTGTTGAGCTCCTTCCTGTTGAGTTCCAGGCAAGTTTGAGGTTAAGTTCCCTCCTCTGAAATCTTAGCTTGGCGTTCACGGTGTGTTGTTTCCTTTTTTCATCTTGCTTCAGAGGTCTACAGCAACCCCAACTAGAGAACTGAACCAAAGTAATTTTTCCTTGAAGACTTGAAAGTCTGGGGAAAGCTCAGGCTCAAGCCTTGAATTTGGGAGTAATCTGTGTGAATGGTATTTTAAGCCACGAAACTGTGATCACTAAGGGAACAGAAAAGAGATGAAATTTTATTACTGAATCCTATAGCTCTTCAACTCTTAATGGTCAGGGAGATGAAGAGGAACCAGCAAAGGAGACTGAGAAGATGTGTGGCCAGTGAGGTAGGGGAAAATCAAAAGTGTGGCATCCTGGTAACCAACTGGAGAAAGTATTTCAAGGAGCAGGGAGTGATCAGCTGTGCAAAACGCTGCTGCTAAGTCAAGTAAGATAAGGGCTGAGAATTAACCACTGGATTTAAAAATATGAAGATCATTGGTGACTGACAAGAGCAACTGCATGGAACGGTAGGAATGAAAACTTGATTAGAAAGGATTCAGGAAAGAATAGGAAACAAATTGGAGGCAGGGACTACGGACAACTATTTTGAAGAGTTTTATGCTAAAGGAGAGGACAGAAATAGGGTGATAGTGAGAAGGAAGACAAAAGAAGGTTTGTTTTTTGGGTTGTTTTTGTGGGGTTTTTTTGAGGATTTTTTTTTTTTTTTAATATGGGTGAAATAACAAATTGCTTATAGGTATGTAAGAATGGATGGAGAAGAGGTCTAATGACTGAGTTCAGGGGAACTCTATCATTTAGAGCCACTTTTCAGACATTATTTATTTTAAACAAAAAATCATGTTAGGGATGATGCCTATTTCACAGCAAAACTGAGGCTCACAGGGGCACCTGGCTGGCTCAGTCAGTGGAGCATGCGACTCTTGATCTCAGGGTTGTTAAGTTCAAGTTCCACATTGGGTGCAGAGATTACTTAAAAATAAAATCATAAAAAAAAAAAACCCAAACCAAAAACTGAGGCTCACAGTAACTTGCTCAGAATCATAACTTGGTTGAACCCTAATCAGAACCCAGGTATGTCTGATCCTAAATCCTATGCCTCTTAACCACTGTAGTCTTTTTTTTTTTTAATTAATTAATTTATTTTAGAGAGAGAGAGAGAGCATGAGTGGGGGGAGGGGCAGGGGGAGAGGGAGAGAGAGAATCTCAAGCAGACTTCATGCCAAGTGCGGAACCCAACGTGGGGCTTGATCTCAAGACCCTGAGATCACGACTTGAGCTGAAACCAAGAGTCAGATGCTTAACTGACTGTGCCACCCAGGTGCCCCTTAACCACTGTATTCTATTGACTGACTTTCTCACAAAGTATTCTCCAGTTAATTACACCCACATGAATGTCAATATAACATAGAATATGAAGAACAGTTGATTATTTTCAGTTTATAATCAGTAAATCCATTCGTTCAGAACAACCGTAGTTATTAAAGGATAACTAAATAAATCTAAAAGTCATAGCCCTAAGTAGAGAGAAAGAAGAAGCTTCTGTTAGAACAGGATGGCTGTGTATATGCAATCAGGATATCAAGCAGAATTTCTATAAACTCTCCGAATATTCCAGGAATCAGTATAAATTACATGTCTGAGACTTACCCCACCTACAACTAAGTATAATTAGTAATTAACATTTAGTTGTCATTCAGTGGTTAATTTAAATTAGATTTACTTAGTAAACTATGTAAGAGACAGAAAAATATAGTTAAGAGTATAGCTTTGATGTCAGATCACTATGTTGTACTCCTGAAACTGATATATTTTATGTCAACTATCCTTCAATTAAAAGAAAAAGAGTATAGCTTTGGAGTCAGACTGCCTGGGTCCAAATCTCAGATCTGATCCTCACGTCTGTAAATAATGTTAATAATAGTACTTACTTCATATAGTTATCATTGCAAGAGGTAGTTCAAAGGACTTAGCACATAGAAAATATATTATAAATGTTAGCTATTATTATTTTCCTTAACATGGACTAATACTTAGAAATTTTAGACTGTTCCATTAAAATAAAGGTTTAACCTTCAGATTAAAAAATACTTCCTCTTCTAGATTGTTCTCGTCCCTAAGTCCTGTAAGAATGTGCTTTTTCTTTCAGGAATTGGTGACAGTCAAGGATGAGGAAATGGATTTCGCTCATGTGGAAGAAGAACAGCTGAGTTCTGCCCAAAGGTACATGGGCATGGATATGAAAGTGGAGAATTGTGGGAGCCTGGTATTTTGGGGTAAGGAAGTTATTTTGTAATGCAAACTGCTTACTGGGACATAAGTTTCCTCTATAACTAATGGCATCTAAAATGGCATAGTTTTGCTTCAGATCCACAGAGCGTTAATCCCCTAGGAGATCCCTGATCACTCTGGACTCAGAATTGGCTTCTTTTCTCTTTTGGCAAGTAAAAGTTCACTGTCTCTGGTATTGAAAAAGGACAGCTTCATACATTGTTGTTGTTTTTTTTTTTTTTTAAAGATTTTATTTATTTATTTGAGAGAGAGAGAATGAGAGAGAGCACATGAGAGGGGTTAGGGTCAGAGGGAGAAGCAGACTCCCTGCCGAGCAGGGAGCCCGATGCGGGACTCGATCCTGGGACTCCAGGACCATGACCTGAGCCGAAGGCAGTCGCTTAACCAACTAAGCCACCCAGGCGCCCTTCATACATTGGTTTTAAGATTTCTAAAGCTATAGTAATCAAAACAGTGTGGTACTAGTGAAAGGAAGATGTAAATCAATGGAACAGAACAGATGGTCCAGAAATAGACCCACAGATATATGGTCAATTAATTTCTGACAAAGATGCAAAGATCAGTTCAATGCTAAAAAGGAGAATCTTTTCAATAAATGGTAATGGAACAATTGGACATCCATATGCCAAAAGAAAATCCATACCTCCCACCATACACAGTTACTTTCAATGGATCACAGAACTAAGTATAAAACCTAGAGGGACCATTAAAGACAGTCTTTGCGACCTTTTGTAAGGCAAAATTTTATTAGATATGATATCAAAAGCTCAATCCAGTAAAGCCATCTGGGTCTTGGGTTTGCTTTATTGGAAGGTTTTTAACCTTGAATCCTGGTCTCTTGCTAGATGTAGGACCATACCTATGATCTGTTTCTTCTTGAGTGCACTCTGGTAATGATTTATCATCTTTCATTCCTGATATTGGTAATCTGTATCTTCTCTGTTTTAATTTTATTGGTCTTCTTAAGAATTTTAATAGTTTTATTGATCTTTTCAAAGAACTGGCTTTTGATTTCATTGATTCCTTCTACTGTTTTCTGTTTTCATTTTTATTCATTGATGCTCTTATTTTTATTATTTTTCCCCTTTGCTAACTTTAGGTCTAATTTTCTCTCCTTCCTTTAGTTTCTGAAGGTAAAAGACTAATCACTGGTATACGATCTTTCTTCTCTCTTAGTATGAACATTTAATGCTATAAAATTTCTTCTAAGGACTGCTTTCGCTGCATTCCACAATTTTAATATGTGGTGTTTTCATTTCCGTGGTTCAAAATAACTTCTATTTTCTTTTTCTTTTTTTTTTTTTTAAGATTTTATTTATTTATTTGAGACAGAGAGAATGAGAGACAGAGAGCATGAGAAGGAGGAGGGTCAGAGGGAGAAGCAGACTCCCTGCCGAGCAGGGAGCCCGATGTGGGACTTGATCCTGGGACTCCCGGATCATGACCTGAGCCGAAGGCAGTCGCTTAACCAACTGAGCCACCCAGGCGCCCAAAATAACTTATATTTTCACTTGTGACTTCCTCCTTGACTCATGGGTTATTTACAGATTTCCAAATTTTATTTTATTTATTTTTATTTATTTATTTATTTTTAAAGATTTTATTTATTTATTTGACAGAGAGAGAATGAGAGAGAGAGAACACATGAGAGGGGATAGGGTCAGAGGATGAAGCAGACTCCCCGCCGAGCAGGGAGCCCGATGCGGGACTCGATCTGGGGACTCCGGGATCATGACCTGAGCCGAAGGCAGTCGCTTAACCAACTGAGCCACCCAGGCACCGCAGATTTCCAAATTTTAGATGGTTTTCAATAAAAGTTGTTTTCAATTTTGTGGTTTGGTTCTGTGTGGTCAGAGATACTTTGTATGATTTCAGTTCTTTTAAATTTCTGATATTTGTTGTATTACCCATAATATAGTCTTGATGAATGTTCCATGTGAACTTGAAAATAAATTTAATTAGGTCAGGTTGGTTGAGAGTGTTTAGGTCTTCTATATCCTTACTGATTTTCTGTCTACTGGCTTCTACTGATTACTGACAGAGGAGTGTTGAATTTTCCAATTATAATTGTGGTATTGTCTATTTCTCCTTTTAGTTTTATCAGTTTTTGCTTATTGTATTTTGCTTAATGTACCTGAAACTCTTTTGTTAGATGCATACACATAACAAATTATCTTTTGGTGAACTGACCCCTTTATCATTTTATAATGTCCCTCTTTAACCTTGGTAATATTTCTTGTTTCGAATTTTATTTTGTAGGATAGTAATATAGCCATTCTCACTTCCTGTTTGCATAGTATGTTTTTTTCCATTTTTAAAAATCTATTTAGAGTTTCTTGTGGACAGTATATAATTGGGTCTATTTTTTTAAGATTTTATTTATTTATTTATTTATTTATTTGAGAAAGCGAGAATGAGAGAAAGAGCACATGAGAGGGGGGAGGGTCAGAGGGAGAAGCAGACTCCCTGCCGAGCAGGGAGCCTGATGTGGGATTCGATCCAGGGACTCCAGGATCATGACCTGAGCTGAAGGCAGTCGCTTAACCAACTGAGCCACCTAGGCGCCCTTGGGTCTATTTTTTTAAATTAATTTATTTGAGAGAGAGAATGAGCAGGGGGAGGGGCAGAGGGAGAGGGAAAAGCAGACTCTCTGCTGAGCACAGAGTCCGACATGGGAATCGATCCCAGGACCTTGGGATCACAACCTGAGCTGAAGGCAGATGCCTAACTGATTGAGCCACCCAGTTGCGCCTATCACCAGTTCTTTTACAGAACAAAGATAAACTGTCAGGAGAAAGAGGATAATCAGGTGAAATTATGTGACGTAATTGAGATGCTATCACTACGTCAGTAATCATATTATATGAATACATCAAAATACCGTGTTGTGTACCTTAAATTTACACAGTGTTATATGTGAAATATATTTTAATTTTTCTAAAAAAGCAATTAATACCGTGGCCTGGATGAGGTCTTTAATGGAGACAATGTTGTGGGGGATGGGGAGGGGCAAAAAAGGAGAGCTTAGACTGAATACCAAGAAGCATCAACATTTAAGAAGGAGAAACAGAAGAAGTCCCAAGTAAATAGAGATCAGGAGTAAAACTTGGACAGCTTACAATCACAGAATTATATCCGAATAAAGTTGGGGGAAAAAATGAGGGGGGGATGTGGTTGGGGGGGAGGCATGGTCACCACTGTCAAGTGCTGTTGAGAGGCCAAGTTAAAGAATGAAAAGAATCCACTGGATTTGGGTGACATATAAATGGTTAGTAACTTCAGTGAGAGCAGTTGCAACTGAGTAGTAGGGAGAGAAGCCAGACTACAGCGAGTACAGGAGCAAGGATGTGATGAGAAAATGTACAAGACCTTTTTGAGAAATTTGGGTATGACCAAAAAATAAGGAAGAAAGGAAGGAGGGAGAAAGAGAAGGAAGGGAGGAAGGGGAGGAGGAAGAATGGAAGAGAAGAAGGAAGGGAAGAAGGAGAGAAGGAAGGAAAGGAGGGGGCAGTGGTTAGTGGAAACACAAAATCCTATTTAAAGTGTCTGTTAAGGGCGCCTGGGTGGCTCAGTTGGTTGGGCGACTGCCTTCGGCTCAGGTCATGATCCTGGAGTCCCGGGATCAAGTCCCTCATTGGGCTCCCTGCTCGGTAGGGAGTCTGCTTCTCCCTCTGACCTTCCTCCCTCTCGTGCTCTCTGTCTCTCATTCTCTCTCTCAAATAAATAAATAAAATCTTAAAATAAATAAATAAATAAGTAAATAAATAAATAAATAAATAAAGTGTCTTTTAAAAAAAAATAAAGTGGGGGCACCTGGGTAGCTCAGTCAGTTAAGCGTCTGCCTTCAGCTCAGGTCATGATCCCAGGGTCCTGGGATCGAGCCCCACATCAGGCTCCCTGCTCCACAGGAAGCCTGCTTCTCCCTCTCCCGCTCCCCCTGCTTGTGTTCCCTCTCTCGCTGTCTCTCTCTCTGTCAAATAAATAAATAAAATCTTTAATAAATAAATAAAGTGTATGGTGAACATGAAAAAAGTCTGTGCTTTTAAAAAGGGACTGGAGCGGGGCACCTGGGTGGTTCAGTTGGTTAAGCATCCGACTCTTGATTTCAGCTCAGATCATGATCTCAGGGTCGTGAGACTGAGCCCCCTCATTAGGCTCCATGCATGGAGCCTGCTTAAGATTCTCCCTCTCCCTCTGCCCCATCCACCCCCTGCCCCTGCTCTCTCTCAAAAAAGGGGGGGGGGACCAGAGGGAACTATTTAAAAAGTCAAAAAGTGATTATTCCCAGGTGATTATTAGAAGTGATTTTTTTTGTCTTGTACTTTCTCAAAACTGCCCAATCTCAACTTGTGTTTTCATCTTTCTACCCTTCCTCAGATATTTTATATTAACATTTATTCTCATCCTGCTAGCTTATCCTCCTTCCTGACTTGTCTGCTCAGTTTTCCATTCTCTTAGGTAGAGCCTCCTCTTCGTCCTCTTATTGTGCCTTGTATTAGCCATTCTCCCATCTCTGTTAGTCCCTGAAACTTCCTCTGCCATTGCCAGGAAGCGCTTTCTGAAAACATTCTAAAAACATGTTTAAGAAGCATCATTTTTCTTTTCTTTTCTTCTTGCCAACTCAGCTGTTTTTTTCTCTCAACACAGAGAACACAAACGCTTGTACTTTTTATTTATTTCAGATTCCGAATCTATACCTGAAACTAAAGAATCCTTTTCAAAGCAGGGACTTTATGAAGAAGTGTCTCCTGAAAGAGAGCTGATAATGGAGAGACTTAAAAAGGATGAGTCCTGGGACTCCAGATTGATAGAAGCCTGGCAATGTGAAGGCACATTAGAAAGGCAGCAAGGAAATCAGAAGAAAGATTTAAGGCAAGTCATAATTAAACGCAAGAAAAACCCTGTGGAGGATTGTAGTGAAACTGGGGAGAGTTCAAACCCAATTCGACATCGCAACATTTACTCAGTGAAAAAGCCTTGGAAGTGCAATGAATGTGGGAAATCCTTCAGTTACTACTCAGCCTTTATCTTACATCAGAGAATTCATACTGGAGAGAAGCCTTATGTATGTAATGAGTGTGGAAAGGCCTTCAGTCGGAGCTCATCACTTATTCAGCATCAGAGGATTCACACTGGAGAGAAACCCTATGAGTGTAATGAATGTGGGAAGGCTTTCAGTCATCGGTCAGCCCTCATCCAACATCACATCATTCATACTGGAGAAAAGCCCTATGAGTGCAGTGAATGTGGGAAGGCCTTCAACCAAAGCACGTACCTTATTCAACATCACAGAATCCATACTGGAGAGAAACCCTATAAATGCAAGGAATGTGGGAAAGCTTTCAATGACACCTCATCCCTTATTAAACATCAAAGGGTTCATACTGGAGAAAAACCCTATGGATGTACAGAGTGTGGGAAAGCCTTTAGTGATAGGTCTGGCCTGACCCAACATCAGAGAACTCATACAGGGGAAAAGCCATATGAATGCAGTGAATGTGGGAAAGCTTTCAGTTACTGTTCAGCTCTTATACAACATCAAGGAACTCATACTGGGGAGAAACCTTACAAATGTAACGAATGTGGGAAAGCCTTCAGTGACCGCTCAGCTCTTGTAAGACATCAGAGAATTCATACTGGAGAGAAACCTTACAAATGTAAAGAATGCAAGAAAGCCTTCAGCCAGAGCTCATCTCTTACAAAGCATCTGAGAACTCATACTGGAGAGAAACCGTATAAATGCAATGATTGTGACAAAGCCTTCAGCCAGAGTTCATCTCTTATTCAACACCAGAAAACCCATATGGGAGGAAAACACTACAAGTGTAAGAAATGTGAGAAAATGTTTAGTGTGCGTTCAGCCTTTCATCAACACAAAGAAATTCATGATGGATAGAATGCAGTAAATTCATGAAATAATTATGTAGTCTTGGGGCACCCAGGTGGCTCAATTGGTAGAGCATGCAACTCTTGATCTGGGGTTGTGAGTTCAAGCCCCATGTTGGGCACAGAGTTTACTTAAAAAAAAAAAAAAAAGTATTCTCTCCTGATAGTGTAGACCTGTTCTAAGTATTACAGGGTATACTACAAAAACACGAGGCTGTGTCATGTAAAAAATAGCTCTCTCCCTTGAAAGGTTATTAAGTATGGGAAGAGGACAAGAGGTACAGTCACAAACCTCAAAAAGCTGAAGTAATGAGGAAAAATCCTAGAGAAACACAGAAGGAGAAAGTCTGGTTTAGTCAGAAAAACAGACTCAGAAGCTAAGCATCTGCTATTACAGAAAAACTAATCAGAGGAGCAGACTGAACAGTACTTGAGGCTGATGGCTGTCTAAATAGTAGTTTTAATCTGAAGCCAAGTGGGGAGGATCAGGATCCCAAAGAGGAAAATCACCAGAAAGTTTCTCTAGAGAAAAAAAAAAAAAACTAAGCCCAGGAAATCCTCCTTTTTCTCTGTCCCTACACTCCATGTGTTCACTTGCACACTTGCAAACATTTACACTAGTGCTTGTTAACCCTGGATGTACACTGAAATCATCTGAGGAGCTTTAAAAAAAAAAATACCTAGCTCCCAGCCCCAGAGAATTCAGATTAAATTTGGACTAGGGTGTAGCCTGGGCATCAAGAATTTAAAAACTCCTCAGGTAGTTCCGATATGCAGCCAAGATTAAGAACTACTGATTTAGGCTCTTTCTGCACAAGGATCAACTCAATAAGGTAGGAGAAGTACAGGCAGCTGAAAGGATAATAACAATTTACATCGGCTCTCAAGAGCTCTTTGTGTCTTGTCTCTCCCTTTTCTTTCTGTTGCTAATTATATGTCTTTTTTTTTTTTTAACCTGACTTTGGATCCTTTTGTTTGGACGTTTTTTGTTTTCTCTGACTTTGTGTGAATTGAGCTGCCTGGTACTAACTTCTGCTCTGGCCCTCACCCTTGCTAAATGTGCTCCTTTAAGCCTGGTTACAGCTTTCTCAATCGCTTCTGCCTATGAGGATCATATATTGTGCTTGCTACCCATGGCCCAATGGTGGCAAATATTTACTGTGAGGAACAAGAGGAGGACCTACAGACCAGAAATCAGGAGAGACAGAGTGACTAGAAGGGAACTTGAAAGAGTTAAAAAATTTTTTTTAAGATTTTATTTATTTGAGAGAGAGTGAGAGGGAGCTAACACTAGCGGGGGGAGGAGCAGAGGGAGCGGGAAAGCAGACTCCTAGCTGAGCAAGGAGCCCTACTCGGGGTTTGATCCCACCCTGGGATCATGACCTGAGCCAAAGACAGATGCTCAACCGCCTGAGCCACCCAGGCACCCCCATACAGTTAAACTTTTGACTCCAACTGTATTGTTGGTATCTTAGAATTTCCTGAAATTATAATAAAATTCAGTTGTGTGCACAAATTAATACTGAACTTCAAGGGATATAGGTGGGAGGAAGGGTAAATAAAAAATGTTTCTACATTTAGGGGCACCTGGTGGCTCAGTTGGTTGGGCGACTGCCTTCAGCTCAGGTCATGATCCTGGAGTCCCGGGATCAAGCCCCGCATCAGGCTCCCTGCTCGGCGGGGAGTCTGCTTCTCCTTCTGACCCTCCCCCCTCTCATGCTCCCTCTCTCTATCTCATTCTCTCTCTCAAATAAATAAAATCTTTTAAAAAAAAGTTTCTACATTTAATATGAAAAAGAATAATAATGCTAAGGAGATTATGAGAAATTACAGATGATAATGTAATCCATATAGAATATCCATTAAATGATAATGCAAATAGAGGAACTAAATTACATGTTAAAAAATGTTTAATCCAAAAGAAGGCAGGAAAGGAGAAAGAAAGGCATGGATGGGACAAATTCTAAATAGGTAGCAAAATGGTAGACCTAAGTTCAACCATACCAGTAATTACATTAAATGTAAAAGAAACACACCAAATAAAACTCAAAGATTACAAGACTGAATAAAGAAGCATGACCCACGGGGTGCCTGGGTGGCTGTCATTAAGCGTCTGCCTTCGGCTCAGGTCATGATCCCAGGGTCCTGGGATCGAGTCCCACATTGGGCTCCCTGCTCAGCAGGAAGCCTGCTTCTCCCCTCTCCCACTCCCCCTGCCTTGTGTTCCTACTCTCACTATGTCTCTCTCTGTCAAATAAATAAATAAAATATTTAAAAAAAAAAAGAAACATGACCCAACTATATGTAAAAGAGGCACATGTTAAATATAGAAACATAGGTTGAAAGTTCAAAAGATAAAAAAAAAAAGAACAAAAGATAAAGAGACACAGTGAAGGGCGCCTGGGTGGCTCAGATGGTTAAGCGTCTGCCTTCGGCTCAGGTCATGATCCCAGGGTCCTGGGATCGAGTCCCACATTGGGCTCCCTGCTAGGCGGGGAGCCTGCTTCTCCCTCTGCCTCTGCCTCTCTCTCTCTCTCTCTCTCTGACTCTCATGAATAAATAAATAAAACATTTAAAAAAAAGAGAGAGACAGTGAAAACACTAATCATAAGAAAGCTGGAGTGGACATATTCATATCAGATCAAACAATTCAAGAAGGGTATCAAAAAAAAAGGTATCATCATAGATACAGAAAGACCTTTTGTAATGTTAAAATGGTCAATTCATTAAGGTTAGGAATTCTTATAATGTGTAACTGGGTTACAAATATGACATGTTAATATTATAAGTAAGATTTATAATTTTAAGTTATTAATATATTATGTGCCTCACATCAGGGCTTCCAAAATCATAAGGTAAAAACTGACAGAACTAAAGTTTTAAAAAGAACAATCCACAATTTTATAATTAGAAATTTTAACACTCCAGGGGCACCTGGCTGGCTCAGTTGATTGAGCATCTGACTCTTGGTTTTGGCTCAGGTCATGATCTCATGGGTCATGAGATTGAGCCCTGCATCAGGCTCCGTGTTCAGCGGGAAATCTGCTTGAGCATTCTCTCCCTCTGCCCCCCACACCATGCTTGCGCTCTCACGTGCTCTCTTTCTAAAATAAATGGATGAGTCTTTTAAAAAAATTTAATAACCCATTCTCAGCAGATGCTAGAACATGTACACAAAAAAATATTAAAGATCTAGAAAAGCTGAACAGCACTACCACCTTGAATTGATTGGCATATATAGAATATAGTATGCACATGGAACACACAACTTCAGAGTGCACATTCCCTTCAAGTGCACATGGATGTTCACCAAGTTAGGTTATACGCTGGCCCTTAAAGCAAGGCTCAATAAATTCAAAGGACTGAGAATATTCTCTATTACATTTAATGAAAGTACAGATCAATAAAATAAGATAGGAAATCCCCAAATATTTGGAAATTAAATGCCATACCTCTAATTAATCCAAGTAAAAAATTTTAAAGGAAAATGGGTTGAAATAATATATAATACTCTTTGACTAGTGGGATTAATCTAGATACCACTAACAGGTAATGGGGGAAGAAGCCTCAACTTCCAAGAAATTAAGGGAAAACACCATTAAATAACCAAAGAGAAAAGAAGAAATAAAATAGACATCGAAAAACATTTTTCGACTGAATAATAATGAAGATGCAACATATCCAAACTTGTGGGATACAACTAAAGCAATGTATAGAGAGAAATCTCCCGCATTAAACTACCTAACATTAGAAAAGAAGGTTGAAAATCCATCATTCCAATTTCCATTGAAAGACTAAAAGTGGAAGCAAATTAAACACAAAGTAAAAGGAAATACATAAGAAAGAGCAGAAAGTGGGCGCCTGGGTGGCTCAGTCCATTAAGCATCTGCCTTCAACTCAGGTCCTGATCCCAAGGTCCTGGGATGGGGCCCTGAGTCAGGCTCCCTGCTCAGCGGGGAGTCTGCCTCTACCTCTGCCCCTCCCTCACCACTCGCACTCTTTCTCTTTCTCTCAAATAAATAAAATCTTAAAAAAAATAAAGAGGAGAAATTTTAAAATACAAAGCAGATACACAATATAGAGCATCAACAAAGGCAAAGATTGGTACTTTGCGTATGGCGGCTTTTACAAAACAAGGCAAAACAAAACAAAACTGAAAGAACATGCAGGAAAATTACATGTGGGGGTTGGAGGGAATGAAGTGAATGGAGCAGGGTAGAGTGCCGCCCTTCACTGTATTTTGTTTTGACTTTTGAGCCACTCAAAAAAAATTTTTTTGAAGATTTTATTTATTTACTTTGGAGAGAGAGCATGAGCAGTGGGGAGGACCAGAGGAAGAGGGAGAGGGAGGGGGAATAAGTCTCAAACAGATTCCACACGGAGTGCAGAGCCACGCGGGGCTTGATCCCAGGACCCTGAGATCACGACCTGAGCTGAAACCAAGAGTCAGACGCCAAAGCGACTGAGCCACTCAGGCCCCCCTCCAAAAATTTTAATACCCATCCAGTGCTATTCCAAGCCATATCGGATACTGAGGCAAAAAGAAACATATGTACCCCTATATACACTTACCAAAATATTTTACCATGTTTTGAACCAGATTGGAAAATTTAATGCAAGCTCCATAATTCAAAAGAATGACTATGGGGCAGGCACCTGGCTGGCTCAGTCAGTAGAGCATGTGACTCTTGATTTCTGGTTTTGTAAGTTCAAGCCCCTTGTTGGGCATAAGATTTACTTAAAAAAATAAAAATTAAAAAAATGACTACATACCAAGTCCACATTGCCCAGTCTGTTTGCACACCACTGTCAACCTGTAGAAACTGGGATGTGATGGCTTCATGGCCCAGGAACCATGAGCTGATTGGAAATAACACCCAAGTGCACAAAAACCCTGGGTTATAAAACAAGCAAACCACAGCTTATCTTATTTAAAATCTTGATATTTTATTTTTCATTGATTTTTTGCATTAATTGTTTTAAAGATTTTTTTTAAAGATTTATTTATTTATTTATTTGAGAGAGAGGAGGGGCAGAGAGAGTCCCAAGCAGACTCTGGGCTCAGTGTGGAGCCTGACGAGGTGGGTGTGGGTGTGGTCAATCCCGAGATCATGACCTGAGCCGAAAACCAAGAGTCCGACATTCAACAGACTGTGACACCCAGGCGCCCCCTTTTTAAAGATTTTTAAAGTAATCTCTACACCCAACGTGGGGCCTGAACTCACAACCCTGAGATCAAGAGTCACATGCCCTACTGACTGAGCCAGCCAGGAGCCCCTGCATTAATTTTGATTTAGAAAATATTGCCTTAAAACCTTTCTCTTTAGGGGCGCCTGGGTGGCTCAGTTGTTAAGCGTCTGCCTTTGGCTCGGGTCATGGTCCTGGGGTCCTGGGATCCAGCTCTGTGTCGGGCTCCCTGTTCCACGGGAAGTCTGCTTCTCCCTCTCCCACTCTCCCTGCTTGTGTTCCCTCACTCGCTGTCTCTCTCTCTGTCAAATAAATAAATAAATAATCTTTAAAAAAAAACCCAAAAACATTTCTCTTGATTACTGAATTTTTTGGTGCCCTCTTAAGTTTTGCACCCAAGGTGAATGCGTCACTTGCCTCACCCTCATCCCTGCCCTGAGCACATTATATGGGATCATCTGGAGGTGGGAAAGCTGGAATGGAGGAGATTCAGTGATTTTCATCATGCCCAAGGAAATCAAAGACTCTGTGTGGACATATTTATTTAAAAACTCATTTAAAAAACTGTAAAGATATTGGTAGCTTTTAGGAAATTCTAAAACTTCATTTGCACTTTTTAAACTCAGACTCACAACCTGGAGTTACTGGCCAGTTTGGGTCATCATCTTCGTGACAGGAAATCAACAGAGACATCCGTTTGTTACCAATTTCACTCTAGGATTTTCCATTTGGGGGTCTGGAAGCTTCATCTCAGGGGCCCTTCAGGGAACCATATGCCTCCTGACAGGGCCTGAAAACCCTGTATCCAACTACAGCTGCCGAGCTCACCCTTCTCTCCCTGCTCTGATTGGGGATCTCAGTCGGTGCTGTCCAAGCCGGTGGTGAGATTGCTGGGACTAGATACATAGCCCCAGGTGAGTGATTTGAAAGCTCATTTTCATGTTATCACCCTTTACCCACAACTTGACTAACCGCCTTGCAGGTTCAACCCTAAGTCACAGTGCAGTCCCACTCAAAATGTAAACGAGCACACAGGCATGCCTCCTGAATTTGGCAAACATTTTCCTGTGATCCACTTTCCTCATCTGTACACTGAGGAAAACAAGAGCGCGGACTTCACAGAGTTGTTATGTGGATGCTATCAATTAATTCATGTAAAGCACATGGAATAGTCCCTGGCACACAGGGAGATGCTCAATAAATTTCAAGATATTATCTATTAGTTTTGGTCACTAAATACACTTTTAATAAAAATATATGAATAATTTTAAGGGAGTGCCACCATTGACAGAGAAATAAAATGCATCATTCAGATAACCAGACAAGTGGTTGGTGATAACTTTGTTCATAGTTTCAAGGAAGAAATGAAAAAAAAAATTTTTTTTTTAAAGATTTATTTATTTGACAGAGAGAGACACAGCAAGAGAGGGAACACAAGCAGGGGGAGTGGGAGAGCGAGAAGCAGGCTTCCCGCTGAGCAGGGAGCCCGATGCGGGGCTCGATTCCAGGACCCCGGGATCATGACCTGAGCCGAAGGCAGACGCTTAACGACTGAGCCACCCAGGCGCCCCTTCTGGTGCATTTTTTGCCTTTTTTTCCAGTATGTGAATTAATGATACAATATTGCAATTGACCATCTCGAAATGGTGGTAATTTGCCAAAAAATAAAATGGCCCAAATGATCAGAACATATGCATTACTGAGCAGGCCAGCTATGAGGTTATTGCAATTGTTCATTGTGATATACCCTATCTTGTCCATATCGTGTGGACAGAGCCATTGTGACATTATCTGTTCGACTTTCAGATTTACTATCTCCTTGCTCCATATGCCATAGGAAATCTTTCTTAAATTATTTCAATCACATGATATTCTTTAATGGGTGATTATTAAAAAATCCTTTTATATTTTTTAAAATTAAGTTTCTTTATTCACTTATTTAACTCATCTCTACATTCAACATGGGGCTTGAACTCACGGCCCCAAGATGAAGAGTCACACGCTCCTCTGACTAAGCCAGCCGGGCACCCTGAAAAAAATCCTTTTATTTATTTATTTATTTTTTTTAAAGATTTTATTTATTTTTTTGACAGAGAAAGAGAGACAGCGAGAGAGGGAACACAAGCAGGGGGAGCGGAAGAGGGAGAAGCAAGCTTCCCGCTGAGCAGAGAGCCCGATGCGGGGCTTGATCCCCGGACTCTGGGATCATGACCTGAGCAGAAGGCAGACACTAATGACTGAGCCACCCAGGCGCCCCGAAAAATATCCTTTTAGAAAAATACTTTTATTTGGCTGCTTTCTGTAATTAAATTCCCACATTTAAAGTAAATAAATCTTCTGTATTTCTTTTTCCTTTTAAGTAGGATCCATGTTCAGCATGGAGCTCAACACAGGGCTTGAACTCATAATCCTGAGATCAAGACCTGAGCTGAGATCAAGAGTTGGACGCTTAACTGATTGAACCACTCAGGTGCCTCTAAATCTTTTGTATTCTTTTTTTTTTTTTTAAAGATTTTATTTATTTATTTGACAGAGACAGAGACAGCAAGAGCGAGAGCAGGAACACAAGCAGGGGGAGTGGGAGAGGGAGAAGCAGGCTCCCCTCTGAGCACGGAGCCCGATGTGGGACTCGATCCCAGCACCCTGGGATCATGACCTGAGCCGAAGGCAGCCGCTTAACGACTGAGCCATCCAGGCGCCCCAAAATCTTTTGTATTCTTGATAGTCCAGGGATGGACTGACCAATTTACAGAGAAATTGCAGTTTAAGAAAAAAACAGAGCATTTATGCAATGAATGAAAGTGCTCCAGGCAGCTAACACAGCTATGCACTAAAAGTCATCTGCTGGGACGCCTGGGTGGCTCAGTCGGTTAAGCGGCTGCCTTCGGCCCAGGTCATGATCCCAGAGTCCTGGGATCGAGTCCCACATTGGGCTCCTTGCTCAGCAAGGAGCCTGCTTCTCCCTCTCTCTCCCTCTGCTTGTGCTCTCTCTGTCAAATAAATAAAATCTTAAAAAACATCATCTGTTGTTTGGAAACAACTGATTCCACATTGTTTCTACTGTGCCAAAGCAATCTCTCCCTCCTTGACAACTGGACATGTAGCTAATGTGTCCTATCCCTTCCTCCCACAGACCTGCCCAAGAGGAATGTGGTGGTCCTAATCGCGAGTGGAGAGGGAGGATGTTTCCAGGGCTGTTCCGGTTTCTCACAAGATCTAAAACAGTGAGGGCGGGTGTATGGAGGGCAGAAGAAGTGAGCATGTTGTTGGGTTTGGGCCGCTTCACACCATGTTCTGATTTTCTACCAGAAGAAAGGTCACTTAGGAAACAAACAATAATGACTTAATAGGTTATCAACTTTTTGACTACTTTTGTCAACTTATGTGGAGTTGCGTGTGCCTAGGCCCTTAGACTTGTACCAATTTTACATTATTATGTTGTCAATTCATAAATGTGTTCCTAAATAATAAATGAAGCTTCAATCAAGCATTCAAATCAAATATTTGCATGACGTCTAATTTGAATCATGTTTTGACTGGTTTAAATTTAACTGTAATTTGAGGCTATCCCTGACTTTGTGCCACCTCCAAATCTATTACCCTCTTTAACCAAGACTTAGCTGTATTTAAAAGATTAACGTGGCACCAGGATTTAGGGTAAAACGTGTGAGTGAAAACGAAGAAGCCAGCAGATAAATAAAGAAGCAACTGTAATACATCAGGGGCAACTAAAGTCAGAGTTACCACAGTAACATAGTTGACGGAACAAGTATGAAATAAATTACACATGAATTATGGGCAGAACTTGTGGAAGCTTAGAGATAGAAGATTCAAGATAACTTTGATGTTCTAATCTTAGGCACACAAGGTACCATTGAGGCAAACAGGGAAGTTAGGTTAGGACGTCAACTTTGAACGGCTAGACAAATAAATGGAAAAGTCTTGACAAGCACTGTGGGATAAAGAGTAGGGAATCTGTGACCCCACAACAAAGCAGGAAACTAGATGGTTAACTTGGGATACCACTACTGCAAGTCAAACTCTCCTATTCGGTGGTTGTCTTTAGACTCCAAGGAAGGTTCAACCCCCAGTTCTAACTCAGAAACCTATTCTATTTCTATCACCTCAATCAATTTACATCCTAAGAGCCTCCTGAATGTACTGCAAAGAGCAGAGGTCCTCACATTTTAGCAGGCATATGGATCACCCCAGTGTTTGAAAAAATTCACTCTCCCGGGCCTCTCCTCCAGAGATTCTGATCCAGCAGATTTAGCTTGGGATTGGTGGATCTGCATTGTAACATGTGTCTCTGATAATTCTGATGCAGGTAACTGACTACAACTTGTAAAACACTGTTGAAAAGTCTACAAACGTGTGAACACAAAAGAAAAGAAATGGTTTTCCAATGCAAAATCATCTCACATCTCAAGACCATTTGTATAGAGAAGCTAGGATTCTGAAGCTCTATTTCCACCCGTCCTTAGAGTTCTTAGGCCCTATCTTCTAAACTGGTTGTCCCTCAACGTTTGCCTTTACGCTTGGGAATTAAACTCTAGGAGGTGTATTCTAGTTGAACCTAGATTACACTGCCCCCTCCTCAGAGAAGTTCAGGGAGAAATTATTTCCAAGGGCTGAGAATTGCCCCACCTTTATTTAAAAAGTAAGTAAACTGGAGAAAACAATTTACACGTCTGTTATGATTTGATATAGAAAAATCATCATTGATGTCAGAAACTCTAACTGTAAGGATAGGCTTCAGTATTCCTTCTATATGCTTCTGTCAGAATTCATTTCTGATTTCTGAGCATATAAATGACACTCTAACAGACTTCAGTCAAGGTTCTAGCAGGAGAGATCAGAAACTATGTAACATGGACATCTGCCTTCGGCTCAGGTCATGATCCTGGGATCGAGCCCCAAATCGGGTTTCCTGCTCAGCGGGGAGCCTGCTTCTCCCTTTCCCTCTGCTGCTCCCCCTACTTGTTCTCTCTGTCTGTAAAATAAATAAAATCTTAAAAAAAAAAAAAAAAAAGACCTAAGTTCTTGGGATAAGGAAGTAGGCCCTCTAAACATGGGGCACATGGAAAAAAAAAATGAGGCATGTGCGCAGGATGGAGACATCCAACCCTGGCAGGTGAGAAAGTAAACAATTAGGCTTCCAAGAGATTACTCAATAGTAAGAGAAGGTATCTGTTCTCCTTCCAGCATGCCTGTGGGATGCTGCTGTTATCCGCTGGTTTGAAAGGCTGTTATTATAGAACTGTAATAGCAAAATTAGCCTGAATCCTCACAAGATGGTAGCAAGTAAGTCAGTTCCCTCTTCTGGTCTGTCAAGTTCAACGATACACCACTCCTGGATGGATAGGAGTCAGTAAATAGTCTTCCCTGCCAGGCACTTGTTGATGGTGCCAGAGGTGAATGGGGGTGAAACTAGGAGAATAATCCCATCATCCAGGACCAAGAGGTCCTCTTATTGGATAGAAATATACATGATTCAGCTTTCAATCTCCTGTAGAGAACAAGCTAGGGGTACATGAAATAGCTCGGCCTTTTGCTTTGGAGAATGGAGGCTTTTGGAAAATTGCTCTTTCTGTGATGTTAGTCCAGGTCTTCCAAGAAGCACATGCCAAGATGGGATGAAACATGCAAACATTTTATCAGGAGGCATGCCTGTGAGAAAGGAAATGGGGTGGGGGTAGTCTCAAAGCTGGGGCGAGCCCAAGATGCAAGACGACCACACGTGAAGGACAGGGGAGAGAAGGTCACTGGAAGCATTATGTGGCCCTGCAGTTTAAGGAAAAATCAGCAAAGTCCTAGGGGAATCTCGAGCCAATAGCAGGTGACAAAGAGTCTCATACCTTCCAGGGCTGGTCTGCCTTAGCATCCACCTGCACTCAGTCAGTGCCTGGGAGCAGCACCTAGGAGGCATGTGGTGAGGCAGTTAGGACCTCGAGCCAGTTGTTTCTGCAGCAAAGGCTCATAAGGCCATCCTCATGGCCACTACGTGAGGCTTAAGAGAATATCCCAATGGAGACTTAAGAGTATTAGTTTGTGGGGCACCTGGCTGGCTCAGTTGGTAGAGTGTGCAACTCTTGATCTCAGGGTTGTAAGTTCGAGCCCCACATTGGGTGGAGAGATTACTTAAGTAAATAAACTTTAAAAAAGAGCATTAATTTGTTAAAATATGATGACAGAGTGTGTGGAAAAATACGTAGGACAAATGACTATCAATTTAGGTAAGGCTATAGCCTCTAGGCCATGTTGGATTTTCATTGCTAAGAAGGCTTCATGGTATAGAATTATTGGCCTATCTCATGCAATTCTAGATGACTTTCCTCAAATGATGTATTTTCCTTAAAATCACACTGCAACTTGGCAGAACTGTGTTTTGGATCCAGGCATGTCTTCAGTGTGTTTGATGTCATATGTTTTAGAGAAAATACATAATCTCTACTTATCCCAGTTAAACTCCATTCTTGCTCTCTAATTCCAGGAATGAGTGAGGGCAGTGGGGTTATGAATGGTAAGAAGGAGGAACATAATTCTTGCCATCACGGCCCTTAGTAGCAAGTGACATAATAATTCTGCAGATTAGGACTCTAGGCTACCCCAGGAGTCTGCTGACAGTTCTGCTCTCCACGGTGGGAGGTCCAGAAGCAGGAACACAAGGATTCCCACCAGTTTGCTAGTTGTGCCAGCAGGCTGACCATAGAGGTATATGCATGGCGGTCCTCAGAAAGAGGACTACTGGACAGGAGGGAGAGTATTGACCTCTGGGGAATCTCCTAAACTCCAATCCCCCTCCCACCTCCAACCTGCAAGTGACCATGACTTTCAGCTTGTCCTGTCCAACTGCATCTGAAGGGAAAAGAGGATCAGGGTCTCAGTCTCGCCAGTAAATCTCTTCTGCAGCAGCACGTCCTAGGACCACAGTGATGTTTATGACACTTGGCATGCTGGCACACATCTTGAGTGGCAGTCCTGGGAGCTGCGCTCTGAACGCCTAGAGCTGAAGGCCACCGTGGGGAACGGTATCAAGCCTGGGGCGAGGCACTCTGTCGGACACGGACTCCCAAGTTCATCTGCAGCCACTTCAGGCCTAAAAACATACTAGTGGGCATCGGAGGCTGGGGTCAAAGGGGGCATGATCAAAACTTGGGGAATTCTCTCTGAGCTGGAAAGCCAGGGCTCATGGTTACACAAGCCCCAGAAAGAAACATGGCGCACTGAGGCCGATGTTTGAGAATGGCTTTTAGGGGTAAGGATAAGCAAAACGGTCCAGGGATTCAGGAAGCAAATTTCTGAACAATCCTTATGGAAAAGACTGGGCGTTTGAAGGCTGGGATAGGCAGAGGCTCACAGCTGACTTGGGACATGGGCTGCAAGGGTTTCGTACATGTGGAGCCAACGAGGGACCAAAGGGACAGAGCCTGTGGGTAAGGCCAAAGTAGTCAGTAGTTAGGAGTAAAACTGAGGGGCGCCTGGCTGGCTCAGTTAGTGGAGCGTGTGACTCTTGATCTCAGAGTCATGAGTTCGAGCCCCACGTTGGGTGTGGGAGCCTACTTTTAAAAAAGAATAAAACTGGGCACCTGGGTAACTCAGTTGGTTAAGCGACTGCCTTCAGCCCAGGTCATGATCCTGGAGTCCCGGGATCGAGTCCCGCGTCACGCTCCCTGCTCAGCAGGGAGTCTGCTTCTCCCTCTGACCTTCCTCCTTCTCATGCTCTCTGTCTCTCATTCTCTCTCTCTCAAATAAATAAATAAAATCTTTAAAAAAAAAAAAAGATAAAAATAAATAAATCACCAAGTTCAAGGAAGTGGGTCAAATTCTAGTAGGATCTAGGGGTACAAGGAAAAACCCAGGCTTTCCCTCCTACGAGTCTTTCTCCTGTGTGTTTCTTTTTTTTTTTTTTAAAGATTTTATTTTTATGTAATCTCCACACCCAACATAGGGCTCGAACTCACAACCCCAAGCTCAAGAGTCACATGCTCTACTGACTGAGCCAGCCAGGTGCCCCTCCTGTGTGTCTCCTTTTTTTTTTTTTTTTTTTTTTTAAGATTATTTATCTGAGAGAGAGAGCAGGGGGAGGGGAGAGGGAAAGACAGAATCTCAAGCAGACTCCCTGCTGAGCGCGGAGCCTGTCTTAGGGCTTAATCCCATGACCCTGAGATCGTGACCTGAGCTGAAATCAAAAGCCAGACATCCAAGTGCCCCATTGTGTCTCCTTTAATGCTCACACAAAACACTTCACTTCTGATCATTAAATGTATGGAGGTTCCCCCCCACACACCAAGCAATTCTGCAACACCAGCTGGGTGTCCTATAATTTTAACTCAATTCTGACACTATCTACCTAGAGCCTACAGGTTAAGGGCTCAGTCCCATAAGACGGCCCCCACCCTACTTCAGATGCCAGTCGCAAGGAGTAGGTCCCTAGGTTACCCACAACTTCTGTCCAATTTGGCTACAATTTGGAAGTTCCCACAACTTCCTCCTCAGGTTTATTTAATTTGCTAGAGCAGCTTACAGGATTCTGGGAAATACATTTACCAGTTTATTAAAAAAATATGATAAAGGATACAGATAAATAGCGAGATGAAGAGATACCCAGGGTGAGGTCTGGGAGGGTCCAGAGCACAGGAGCTTCGGTCCCTGTGGAGTTGGGATATGTTCACCCTGCTGCTGGTGTGGATGTGTTCATCAGCCTGGAAGCTCCCAAACTCATACTATTTGGTTTTTTTTTTTAATGGTTTATTTATTCCAGAATGAGAGAGAGAGAGCACAAGATTGCACTGGGGGGAGGGGCAGAGGGAGAGGGAGAGCATCTCAAGCAGACTCCCCACTGAACATGGAGCCCAATGCGGGGATCAATCCATGACCCTGAGATCATGACCGGAGCTGAAACCAAGAGCTGGATGCTCAACCGAGCGAGCCACCCAGGCACCCCACTATTGGGGTTTTATGGAGGCTTCCTCATATAGGTATGACCAATTATTAACTCCATTTCCAGCCCCTCTCCCCTCTCTGGAGAAGTGAGGGGCACGACTGAAAATTCCTAGCTTCTCATCATGGCCTTGGTCTTCCTGGTGACCATGTCCCAACCAGGAGCCATCTAGGAGCCCACCCAGAGTCACCTCAATAGAAAAAAAGATGCTCCTGGTGCTCTTACCATTAGGAATTTACAAGAGTTTTAAGAGTCCTGTGTCAGGGATGAAGTAAAAAAAAAATATTAGAACAAGAGATGCTCCTAGTGCTATTATCACTTAAGAATTTACAAGGGTTTTAGAAGCTCTGTGCTGGGAACTGGGGGCAGAGATCAATGCATATGTTTTCTATTATCTCACACCAGGAATGTCTAGTCTGTGGGTTGGCAGAGAGTCTGGATGAGGCTTTTGTTAAAGCTGCACATGATGGAATGAGATTCTTCCAGATTACACAAGAGAAATAACATAATGTATAGCCCAGCATAGACAGGAAGTGGCTGACAGGAACCACATAAGGGAGTCAGAACCCCAGAAAACTTGGTTTAAAGCTAGACACAATGTGCTCTGCCTAGTCTTAGAGATGAATTAGAGTAGAAGCAAAAAGCAGCAACAGGGACACAAGTCCTACCAAGGTGAGAGACAGGCCAGAAAACTGAGATCCTAAGACTCATTCAAGGACCGAATGGAGGAAGAGGAAGAGGATATAAACATCCCTAAGTTAATTTATAACCTCCCCATGATACGAGTATAAGTAGTCTTTTTCCCCTGCAGCTATATTCATGAATTCTAGAACTCATGTACAAAAATAAATAAGCAAACATAACAACGATAATAAAAAAAAAGCTCTGGGGGCGCCTGGGTGGCTCAGTTGGTTGGGCGACTGCCTTCGGCTCAGGTCATGATCCTGGAGTCCCTGGATCAAGTCCCGCATCAGGCTCCCTGCTTGGCAGGGAGTCTGCTTCTCCCTCTGACCCTCCCCCTTCTCATGTGCTCTCTCTCATTCTCTCTCAAATAAATAAAAAAAAAAAAAAAAAAAAAAAAGCTCTGAAAAAAGAGCAAATACATTTTTCTGTCGTTTATAAACACATACCATAGAGCCTTTCTAATTAAAACAGTGTAATATTGGCATATGAATAGATAGGCAAATGGAACAGAACAGAAAGTCCAGATATGGATCCAAGAATATGTAAAGATTTAGTGTACAATAAAAGCAGCATTTTATATCAACGGGGAAAGACATTTGTTTTAAACAAATGCTACCGGATAACTGTTTTGGAAAAAGGTTAAATTTAAATCCATAACTTCTACCACATACCAAGTTAAATTCCAAATAGATCAGAGATTTACGTATTAAGGAAGTAGAAGCAGAAGCAGCAACAGAAGAGGAGAATAGTGAGGAGAGGAAGGATGAGGAGGGTGGAGGGAGGAAGAAGAAGAAACCAAAAAACTGCTGAATTCATTTCTAATCTGGGCATAGAGAAATATTTCTAATGATGTCTCAAAATCCGAAATCCAAAATCCAAAATCTATACCCCAAGAGGAAAACATTCAAGTACAATTATGGACAGTTCACTCACAAAATACAAATGAAATTGTAAAAAAAAAAGAAAAAAAAATGCAGTGGAGTAAATTTAAAGATTGAATTGGCTTTATTGAATGATTCACAAATCAGCAGCATCCCATCCAATAGAATGGAGCCTCAGAGAGCTACAGAAGGAAAGGTTTTGAAAAGCAAAAAGGGTGTGGAACAAGGAAGTCATAAATGAAAAAAAAATCTTCTGGCAAGGTAACCTTCCTTTGGGAGACAAGAGAACTTATTAGGAGCATGGCTTCATTGGCGCTGACCAGAAAATTCCAGACTGACAGGTTAGGATTACATTCCTAGGGAAGGTCAAAAGTAATTAAGTCAGGTATTAAATCTTGGTATGGTGTCATGGGTTTAAGATAGAGAAACTGAAGGACTCCATAAAAATCTGCTTTCTTTGTTCCTTTTCCAGCTTCTATTCTTGCTCGGACCTGCACCCTCACCCCCCCACCCCCCTCTACACAGGCCTCAGAATGTCCTCCTTGTAAGGGACAAAGAGCTAATGATTTCTTTGGAATTGATAACATCTAAGGAAGGCCCAGGAGAGAATGACCAGAGGAAGCCGCTGTAGAGGCTGCTTTTAGGCAGACAGGTTTGAGCGATGGAATGTTGAAAGGGCCCACAGCAGCCCCTGGCTGAATACAAACAGGCCCCTCAGGTGACCCACCTCATAATATCCATAGGCCCTAACTTTCCAGTGGGCTACTTACAACTAGGCACAGTTACCAAAAAAGGGAAAGTGCCCTATGTGGCCATTACCTCCTCACCTTTCCCCTTTAAAAACAGCCCTCACCCACTGCCTCCTTGCAGACAGTCTCTGCTTTGCTGTCCTGCCCATTGTTCCCTTGGGGTGTATTCATAAACTTCTGTATCCTTTGTTCTGCCTCAGGTGAGTTCTTCCATGGCCCCACGACCGGCTTCCACCTGATCTTCGACCCACATTTGGGGTCCCCCTTCTGATCGGACAGACACCTCATTAGACACCATAGCCATTATATGCACATTCCAGACCATGGCACGAGACATGTGGACGCCAAGGCCCCCTGGCTCCAGGGAATAACACCTGGGCCTCCGTCTTTGTTCTGATCAGTTCCTAGATGCCCGAGGGGACACGTTCACCAGACCTCTGTACTCAGTAAAAACCCCCAGGCCCCGAACAAAAATGAGTCTCCCTCCTTTCCTTTCTGACTCTCCTGGACACACTGTATCTGCACTCTCTCTACACCTTCAGTAAACTCTGCTTTCACTTCCTGCTGGCTTGCATTTCATTTCTATCCTACATGCAGCCAGGGGCCCCCATGGCTGGTCCTGCAGGACCCCCTCTGAGTCCCCAGACCTGGCCTGCTGGCATCAGGTTTAACCCAAGTGACTCACTCCGTTTTGGGCCTGTTGTTTCTTCTTCTTCTTTTTTTAAATTTTCTTTATTTTAGAGAGAGAAAGAGAGCAAGCAGGGGGAGGGGCAGAGGGAAAGGGAGAGAATCTCAAGTAGACCCCGAGCTAAACACAGAGCCCGATGTAGGGCTCGATCTCATGACCCTGAGATCATGACCTGAGCCAAAATCAAGAGTCAGTCATTCAACCAACTGAGCCATCCAGGTGCCTCTGTTGCTTCTTTTAATTTTTTATTTTTTTAAATTAAAAAAAAATTTTTTTTAAAGATTTTATTTATGTCAGAGAGAGCACAAGCCAGTGAGGAGCAGCAGACAGAGCAGGCAGAGGGAGAAGCAGGGTCCCCACTGAGCAGGGAGCCCGACGTGGGACTCGATCCCAGGACCCTGAGATCATGACCTGAGCCGAAGGCAGCTGCTTAACTGACTGAGCCACCCAGGTGCCCCTCTGTTGCTTCTTTTTAATAGAATTTAAGTATATGAAAATTTTAAGTGCATTTGTAATAAAGGAAATGCATATTACAACTATACTGAGTTTCCTCTTCTGGCCATGATGCAGTTACTAAGACTAGACTGGCTGAACTCATTGTAAAAAACTATAAAACTAGACAGAACATATGAAAAAATGTTTCCGACTGGGGACACCAGGCAGTTCAGACCTGTGATCCCTGAAAAAACGCACCTTCTGTGCCACAGCTCAGGGGAGGAAGAGTCAAAACAGACCATAGCAGGCTCTCTAAGATGAGGACACAGAGATTTGAATTCAAGGAGGCAGAGGTAGCTGGGATTTGGGTAGCAGAATCCTAGGGAGCCAGAAGCTACACAGAGAAAATCTCTAGAAATTTCTATAACGGGTCCTCTTGAGTCGTTCCTAGTAGAATCATGCCAGGCAAAGAACGAACAGGAAACTGTAAGCTGAATAATTCTCAGAGGTCACACAGAGCTGGGAGATGCTCATGTCCTGACTGCCATAATTAGTGAAAGTATTAAACTAGCCCTAGAGGACGTCAAGATTTGCTCAAGCTTTCAAGCCAAGGTCAGCTCTTCTTGGGGTGAACTCATCTTTACAAAGCTTCAAAATAAGCCTTGAGTTAAGCTGATCTGAAAGTAATTTGAACTGTCTTAAAGAAAAAAAAAATTTATTCTGGTAAAATATATATAACATAAAATTTAACTTTTTAATCATTTGCGAGCAGACAGTTCAGTGGCATTAGGACATTCATATTGTGTGCAATGATCACCACAATCCATCTCCAGAACTTTTTTCATCTTTCCAAGCTGAAACTCTGTCCCCATTAAACATCAACTCTCCATTTCCCCCTCCCCTCAACCCTGGCAACCACCCTTGTACTCTCTGTCTCTATGAATTTGACTACTCTAGGTCTCTCACATAAGTGGAATCATACAATATTTGTCCTTGTCTGTCAGGCCTATTTCACTTAGCATCATCTACTCAAGGTTCATTCATGTTGTAGCATTTGTCAGAATTTCCTTCCTATTTAAAGCTGAAAAATATTCCATTCTATGGATATACCACAATTTGTTTATCGATTCATTTGTCCAGGACATTTGGCTTGCTTCTGCCTTTTGGCTGTTGTGAATAGGCTATTATGAACATGGGTGTACAAATATCTGTTTGAGTCACACTGCTTTCATTTCTTTGGGGTATTAACCCAGAGGAGGGATTTCTGGATCATATGGGTTCTAATGCTTTTAAAGGAAAACAACAAACTCTGACACTCAACGCAAAATTCATTAATGTCTAGCACTCAATCAAAAATCAATAGGTATGTAAAGTAGCAGGAAAATGTAATCCAAAACCAGGAAAATAATCAGTCAATAGAAACAGATCCAAAAAATGACAGACATTATGGAGTCGGGAGACAAGCTTTAAGTAGAGTGGAGTGCGGGGATCTCATGACCCTGAGATCATGACCTGGGCTGAGATCAAGAGTCGGGAATTGGATGCTTAACTGACTGAGCCACCCAGGTGCCCCAGGAGACTTGGACTTTAAAATAATTATGCTTGGGATGCCTGGGTGGCTCAGTCGGTTAAGCATCTGTCTTTGGCTCGGGTCATGATCCCAGGGTCCTGGGATTGAGCCCCACATGGGGCTCCCTGCTCACCTGGGATCCTGCTTCTCCCTCTCCCTCTCTGCCCCTCCCCTCTGCTTGTGCTCTCTCTCTCAAATAAATAAAATCTTTTAAAATAAAATAATTATGCTCAAGGACTTAAAAGAAACAAACATAACGGATGCCTGGGTGGCTCATTCAGTTAAGTGTCTGACTCTTGATTTCAGCTTACAACTTGAGATTGAGCCCCGAGTTGAGTGTGGAGCCTGCTTAATATTCTCTCTCTCCCTCTCCCTCTGCCCCTTCCTGCTCACACTCTCTCTCTTAAAAAAAAAAACCAAAAAAATAAAAATAAAAAACAGAACAAAAGAAACAAACATAAAACAAGAAACAAATATAATGAAATACAAGGTAATAAAAATAGAACTTCTAGAGATTAAAACACACACACACACCCCACACACAGGGGCACCTGGGTGGCTCAGTGGGTTAAGCGACTGCCTTCGGCTCAGGTCATGATCCCAGAGTCCTGGGATCAAGCCCTGCATTAGGCTCCCTGCTCAGCCAGGAGCCTGCTTCTCCCTCTCCCTCTGCCACCCCCCCCCCCACTTGTGATCTCTCTCTCTGTGTCAAATAAATAAATAAAATCTTTAAAGAAAATCTAAAAAAAACCCCAAACCAAATATCAGAAAGGATCAGTCAGCTTCAAGAGTAGCAGTGGAAACTATGGCTTATCAGATTTACAGTTAGTGATCTCCTCCCTGTAGTGGTCCTTATCTCAAGCACTGGGAGATTGAAGATTCTTCTTTTCCTTTCCCAGTGTTTTAGTACAGCTCTTTAGCCTCCTGCTCCGTGTAGCTTCAGCTACCAGTAAATATCCTGAGAAGGAAACTACCTCTGAATTTGAGGCCCCCAAGTTTCCAATGTTATCATGGCACAGTATAATTTTTCAAAAGTTCAACTGGTTTTTCCTGTATGAGATCAGCAGCCCTTTGCCTGAACCAAGCCCTAAATGCTTTTTTTTTTTTAAAGATTTTTATTTATTTGACAGAGAGAGAGACAGCGAGAGAGGGAACACAAGCAGGGAGAGTGTGAGAGGGAGAAGCAGGCTTCCCGCTGAGCAGTGAGCCCGAAGTGGGGCTCGATCCCAGGACCCCAGGATCATGACCTGAGCCAAAGGCAGATGCCCAACGACTGAGCCACCCAGGCGCCCCCAAGCCCTAAATACTTTGAGTAACATTTAAACGTGTAATATTTGAAATTTAACAGTGCCTGGAACATTGTAGGCCCTCAATAAATTTTCTTTTAAAGATTTTATTTATTTATTTGAGAAGAAGAGCAGGAGTGGGGAGAGAGACAGACTCCCTGCTGAGCAGGGAGCCCGACACAGGGCTGGATGCCAGGACCCTGGGATCATGACCTGAGCTGAAGGCAGACGCTTAACCGAGTGCGCCACCCAGGCGCCCCGACCCTCAATAAGTATTAATTGAATGAATTTCATTTTATTTCCTGATTCTCTTAATTGTCTTTCGGAAGTTCAAACTGCTGCAACACTGAGTCAATGAATATCTGCGTTCATCTAACAATGTTTAGAAAACTGAAGATTTTCTCCCTAATGCTTTAGGAACATTTACTGTGGCCTGGCATTGTTCTAAGCATTTTACATATATTAACTCATTTAATACAGTAGAAAACGAGCAGAAAGTGGCCCCTCTTCTCTGTATTTCCCCCTTACCTGTGGAGGGATATATTCCAAGACCCTCAGTTGATGCCTGAAACTGTGGATAGTACCAAACCTTACATATACTATACTTTTTCCTATACTTACACATTTACGATAGAGTTTCACTTATAAATTAGGTACGGTAAGAGATTAACAACAATAATAAAATAGAACAATTATAACAATACACTGTAATAAAAGTTATGTGAATGTGGTCTCTCTTTCAAAATAGCTTATTGTACTGTACTCACCCTTCTTCTTGTGATGATGTGAGATGATAAAATGCCTATGCGATGAGATGAAGTGAGATGAATAATGGAGGCATTGTGAGGTAGCCTCCGGCTACTATTGACCTTCTCAGGATATGTCAGCAGGAGGATCATCTGCTTCTGGACCATGACTGACCTTGGGTAACTGAAACTGTGGAAGGCAAAACAGAGGATAAGGGGGTGCTACACCTCAGAACAACCCTATAAAATTCATAGTCCTAGTCTCCTCATTTTACATGTATGGAAACTAACATACAGAAGAGTGAACTAGTTCGTCCCAGGTCAAACAACTAGTATGATACTGGTAAAACAAACACCCTATCCCTCTCTCTGCCTCTCCTTCTTTCTCTGTTTCTAGTGTTTTGGCCCATGGAAATCAAGACTTAAAGGGAGATTTCACGTAAGTGTTTTTCTTAACCTGTTACTTTTTTTTTCTTTGCTAAACATGGAATCCCATCAAATCCTCCTATCGGGGGGCGCCTGGGTGGCTCAGTCGTTCAGCGTCTGCCTTCGGCTCAGGTCATGATCCCAGGGTCCTGGGATCGAGCCCCGCATCGGGCTCCCTGCTCGGCGGGAAGCCTGCTTCTCCCTCTCCCACTCCCCCTGCTTGTGTTCCCTCTCTCGCTGTCTCTCTCTGTCAAATAAATAAAATCTTAAAACAAACAAACAAATCCTCCTATCAATTACAACTAATTGCCACTGATAACTAGTCCTATGTTGCTTTGTTTAAATAGCATTCATGTAATTTCTGAATAACATAGCTTCAGATAAATACCTATTTTTCATATTTTTATGTTAAGTAACACAGATATGTGTAATCATTCATTATATTCAACGTATTATGTTACTCGTCTGGTAGGACTGCGTCCCGGGTTAGCTCTCTAAAAAGTTGGTCACTCCACACTCAAAAGAGGAGCTTTTGAAAAATACCCAGTTGCACGAGGGCCCCCTCCTAGAAATTCTGATCCAACTGGTGTGGAAAACGAGCGCCTGGGTGGCACAGTTTTTAAAGCCTTCAGGTGATTTTTACTGGAGATTCCGCCCTGCTCGGCTGGGCGGGAACCGGCCGGGGCGGGGCCTGGGAGTCACGTGGCCCAGGCGGCGCCCTCTGCGGCCGTTGATTGGCCCCGACCTGAGCGGCGGGGGCGTGGGACGGGAGGCTGCCGCCCTCCTAACCCGACCAAAGAGTTCCGAAGCCTCCGCGCTTCCTAGAAGGTACGCGGGCGGAGACGCTGGGCTCCGCGCGCGCCAGTGAGGGCCGGCGAGTGGCGGGGATTTCTTCCGCGTTCGCGCCCTCGGGTAGCGGGTGGTCATTGGAGGGGCGCGGACCGCAGCGCGGGTCGGGCTGGGAGCCTCGAGAGGGGAGCCCGGCCCCTAGGGCCGCAGCAGGTGGACACTGAGGACTTCCTGGAGGAGGTGGCGCGGCGGAGGGTTGGAGGTGCGGAGCGGGTGTGGGGAGAGAGGAGCTAGTGTGATGGGAGGGGTGGCTGGCGCGGGCGAAGCCCCGGCGGCCCCGCCGCGGCAGGTGTCCGGGTTCGAGAGACCCTCAGGGGAGGTCGTCGGGCATTTACGGGGCGTCTTCCCGAAGATGTCAACTTGTGACTATTTTCCGTGGTGTCAGGTCTTCAGCAGGAAGGAAGAACAAGTCCGATGAATGAATAGCTGGTGAATACTGTGGTTTGGTTTGGTTGTAGGGGAAAAGGAGATGTGATTGAACGTTGCAGGAGTTCAGGTTATAGTGGAGGGGCGTTTTAGATTCTGACTTCCAAATGCACCGTGCTCACGGTAGACAGTAGAGTTTAGATAATGAAAGCGTTGAGGTCCCTTCCCCAATCTCGAAGCCCTTGGTCAGGACATTTTTTGGAGTGCCTCCTTGCTTAAAAGACAGAGCATCTTCCAAATAATGTTTTTAGGGAACGTGAATGGTTCGAGAGACTTTCTTACAAACGCACTCACAGAAAGCAAGGTTCGCCTGTGGCCAGAAAAAGCACAAGAAAAAAATGAAAATCACCTGTATCCCATCACTTGTGTACTTCCCGAGAGTAACGATGTTGAGTTTATAATGATCCAGAAAAACCAAAGTGGAGACCACAGTTTGGGTACACCCTTAGGCCAACCACCCTTAGCTGTGGAATCAAAACTTGAACTGTCCTAATTTCCCAAAATGCTGACTCTTCTTCTGGGAAACTTAAGCTGTCTTCATGTCATGGTGACCTTGTAGCTTCCTGGCCAATCAGCTAAAAACAAGTAAACTTGTGCAGTGCTTCTATTCTAAAAGGGTTGTAAGTTTCTAGTAAACAGTCACAGTAGAAAACAAGGTATTTCCTCATTTCGTGTGTAGTGGCGGAGAAATAACTTTCTTTCTCCGTTCTTAGCTGAGATCCCGGCAATAAAAGATTAAGAGAAAAACAAATTTATTAACATGTATAGGTGGGAAATACCCACGGAAAAATGAATAACTCCTGGAGTGGCTTAGAATTCGGGCTTAAATACCCTCTTAATAGGGAAAGGGGAGAGAGGATGTAGGCCTCTTAGAGGAGAGTAAATGAGTTTTAGGAAAGATAACTGGGTCCTTAGAAGAGCAGACAGGAGGTCCGATGGTTTAGGATAGTTTGGGTGTGGTGTCAACATCTAGTCTCATCTCCTGGGAGGGGAATTTATGACAATTGAGTTCCTTTTCAATGATCGGTCTTTAGGCAGATAAGGGGAGCTCAGAGAAAGCCTTTCTCTGTGTTTGCCACTTTTCAAGTGCCCACAGCTCAAACTGATCATGGGGTGGCATATTCTGCTACCCCTCACGCCTTATGAACTAAGCTGTGGCTGCTGAGAGCTCAGCCTCTTCATGCTTTTGGTTTTGAAGTCTTGTTTGCTGTGTTTCTCAATAAATATGCATATCAAGTCAAGCTCTCTGAACAGTCTTTTGACAACGATTGCTTCTGTGTCTATAATAGGTAGCCTGAAATCTTTAACTGCCCTAAAGTCATTTTTATACTCTCTGAGCTGATCCTGTAGGATGTAGAAATACATGACCACCACCCCACCCCACCCCCAAACGAGAACAAACAAAGGCTCTTCATTCAGATCCTGCTATATAGCAAGGGTGTGAGTCACCATTGCTTGTTTGGCAGAGACCCAAAGGCAGGCAGGGGTAAGCCTTATGGTGGGGAGAAAAAGGAAGCTCAGATGTGCCCAGTTTGGAGGTTAAATAAATAGAAGCAGAACATCCTATGTGGTTGGGTAGGGGAGTGTATTTGGCTTTCTCTGCTGGTCCTAAATTGTAGGAAGGAAGTCAGAATTAAGTATAAGTTGGCCGTTATTGACCCGATATTGGTTTGGGGCTGATTGCCGAATGGGGTGTGATTTGGATTCTGGGCTGGTTGCTGCAGGTTGTGGGCCAGAGTTCTATTCTTATCTATGGTCTTGTCCCTTTGTGTATGCAGTCTTTCAATGAGGTGCTACAGAACATATTCTAGGGAGAAGGGGAGGGCAGGGCCCTGGGATAAAGCTTTGGAAATTGAGCCAACTTCAGAAGTTCCTAAAAAAGACTATTCTTTTTTTTTTTTTTTTAAGATTTTATTTATTTATTTGACAGAGAGGACACAGCGAGAGAGGGAACACAAGCAGGGGGAGTGGAAGAGGGAGAAGCAGGCTCCCCACGGAGCAGGGAGCGCCATGCGGGGCTTGATCCCAGGACCCTGGGATCATGACCTGAGCCGAAGGCAGACACTTAACGACTGAGCCACCCAGGCGCCCCTAAAAAAGACTATTCTAGCAGCTGCTTTCATTTTTTCCCATTTCAGCACCGAACACCGTGACTGTATATTAGCTCAGGTGTGTTGGCCCTGTTGGAATTCCCTGTCCGAGGGCTGCCTGGTGAGAGAGGCTTAAATTGGGACTGGCCTTTACTCATTATCTTTTTTCCTCCTTCAGTCAAGCCTCATGGCGGCAATCCTGCCCCATCTCGGAGACCAGGACTTGGAAGCTGTATTCCTGACAGCTGGGTGGAAGGTGAGCTGGGCTCCTCCTCCCCTTCCTCAGGGTAGTCCTGCAGCCAGGCAATGGCTTTGACTCCTTTGTTCAGGTTGAGCCATCTTTATTAATTTGGGGATTTTTTTCCTTCTTGGAAAGTGTGCTGTTAAAGAGCTTGAACTCTGGGATCAGACAGGTTCAAATCCAGGCTTTGTTGTAGATGTTTTACCTTCAGCAAGTTACATAAGGTCCCTGGGCCTCAGTTTACTTATCTGTAAAGGGGATGATACCACCTATGGTAAAGAGTTGTGAATTAAGTGAGGCACTTGGTGAAATAGGTAAATAATACTTTACATAGTATCTAGTTCTATTTTAAGCACTCTCCAATTTTAGATATTGTTACCATAGTTGTTCATTATTTCTGTCAGTGAGTGTTACTATGTACCAGATACTATCCTTTGTGCGGGGGAGATAAACTCTCTCTAAAGGAGTTTACAGGGTTGTTGGTTTTTTGTTTTGTTTTTTTTTTAAGTAGATATGTAAACAGACTCTTGCATTACAGGGATAAATTCTGCTCTGGGAGTACTAAAGGGTATAAGGGAAGCTTAGTTATTGAATTTGCAACATTATGGAGGTTGATTCTAAAAAGTTGCATTTAAAAGTAAGGAGACAAGTTAGGAAGCCATCCTAACAATTTTGAAAGAAAGGTGGGACAGGAGGGAGGCAAGTTGAGTTACTGCAGTTTGACTGCCTTGCTCCAGCATGTCTTCACTTTCTGCGGAGTCCCGAAGCTCTGCCAAGTAGGTGGGAGCAGGGATGCCCTAGAGCAGTTGCAGAGGTGTGATGAGGCTTAAACCAGACAGTGGCTTACGCAGCGACTGGAAGTGTGTGTAGTTTTCTCCTGGGAGCTGGTCCCGTAAGGGAAGGATAGAGAACAGAAACCAGAGGGGAAGGCAGGCACAGGAATGTCTTTTTAAAGATAGGAGAGGTTTTGGGGCACCTGGGTGGCTCAGTTGGTTGAGCTTCTGCCTTCGGCTCACATCATGATCCCAGGGTCCTGGGATCGAGTTCTGGGATCAAGTCCTGCATCAGTCTCCCTGTGCAGTAGAGAGCCTGCTTCTCCCTCTGCCTCTGCCACTTCCCCTGGCTCGTGCTCTATCTCAAATAAATAAATTCGTAAAAAAAAAAAAAAAAAAAGGAGAGGTTTTGGCATTTTTGCTGATGAAGGGGAAGGAGGGAGGGGAGAAGTGAGTGTTTAGGAAAAACACTCCATGTTTCTCTGCTTTCTACTTTCTTTCTTTTTTTTTTTTTTAAAGATTTTATTTATTTATTCATGAGAGACAGACAGGCAGAGGGAGAAGCAGGCTCCCCGTGGAGCAGGGAGCCCGATGCGGGACTCGATCCCAGGACCCTGGGATCATGACCTGAGCCGAAGGCAGACGCTTAACCAACTGAGCCACCCAGGCGTCCCTCTGCTTTCTACTTTCATGCCACACTTCACTTCGGGCACCAAACATGTTGGGGTTTGTCCCACACATCAGGGAATTCTGTGACACCAGTGGGGTGGGGTGGGGCTGCAATTTAACTCAGTTTTGACACTTTCTACCTGGAGTTAGCATCAGACCCCACAGGGTAAGGGCTCAGTCCCCCAAGACTGCCCCTCCCCCACTTCTGCCACCAGCCAATTGCGAGTCCATGTTGTCACTTGTGCCTTGACTGGCTATATATTTGGAGGTTCCCATGACCCCCTCTGCGGGTTCGATTAATTTGCTTAGAGTGGCTCAGAGAACTCAAGAACACAGTTTACTCTTACTAGATTTTACTAGGTTTATTATAAAAGGCTATAACTCAGGAACAGCCAGACAGAAGAGGGGTTCAGAGCTTCTGTGTTCTGAGTGTGCCATGCTCCCGGCCCTCCACACAGTCGTTAGCCCTGAAGCTGTCCGAACCCTATCCTTTTGGGCTTTTATAGAGGCTCATTACATGGGCTTGATTGAGTAAATCATTGCCCTTTCGTGACTGATTCAACCTCCAGCCCCTCTCCCTCCTCCGAATTGGGGGGTTCAAACCCTCTAATCACATGGTTGGTTCCCTTGGCAACCAGCCTGCCATCCTTGGGGCCTTTCCAAAGATCACCTCATTAACATAAACTCAGGTGTGGTGAAAGGAATTTGTGATGAGTAAGGAGACACTCCTTTCTCTTTCATGACTCGAGCTATTTCAGAAACCAAGGACAGAAGGCCAAATATGAAGAGATGCTCCTGCTCTTATCCCTTAGGAATTCCAAGAGTTTTAGGAGCTCTGTGCTGGAAATGAGGATGAAGATTAAATATATATATATATTTTAAAGATTTTATTTATTAGAGCATGCACACGAGGGGAGAGGAGAGGCAGGGGGAGAGGAAGAGGGTGAGAAGCATACTCCCCGCTCAGCAGGGAGCCTGGCTCTATCCCAGGATCCTAAGGTCATGACCTGAGCCGAAGGCAGACGGTTAACCGGTTAACCGACTGAGCCACCTGGGTGCCCCTAAGGATATATCACGGTATCACAGGGGAAAGAGAGTAAAGATATGGAAGAGTCCTTGTCATTGGATTAAGACCCTGGGGGGGAGACACAAGGGAATGGAAGCAGAGGCAGAGGGGGAGGGATTGCTAGAAGGACAGCTTCTTTCCCTGAGGGAAAAGAGAGAGGGATGAGTGAGAACATAGGTAATGCCTGGCGGGGATGGTGGGGAAGTGAGAGGAATTAGGGAGCATGTGCTCTGTGGGCTCTTTCCTGGGACATAACCGGCAGTGACTTCTGGAAGGGAGTGGTGAGGTGAAACACATGCCCTCCTAGCCCCTCTGAGTACCTCCCACTGGATCGTTACCGTGTTGACTCCAACTTTCCCCCTGGACGGTCGGTTCCCCAAGTGGGACCAGGCCTGCTATAGAATCATACAGATTGTGCAGGTAGCAACTCCAGGGGACCCATTCACACAGCTGTGATGTAAATGGTGTCCTGTAGGTCTGAGCAGTGCACAGCCTGAACGGTTATATCCTGTGGCCTCAGCAGGAGCTGGACCCCTTGTTGCTGGCCTATGGCTTGAAAGCTAGCAACTATTGGTGCCCAGTGTTTCTTGAAAGAATGAGGGTGGTAAAGGTACAGAAGACCCTGGGGAGGAATGGGAGGGTGAGAGTTTGGGGCAACATTAAAGGCCATATGATTGAATGTATAGAGATTACTCTGTGGGAGATTAAGCCATTTTATTCCCCAGCGCTTGCTTACGCTCACGTAGCATCTGAGAATGTCAGCTGAGGAGACCCACAGGACAGCTCTGGTAAAAGGAGGGACGTTTGGGGGGCGCCTGGGTGGCTCAGTTGGTTAAGCGACTGCCTTCGGCTCAGGTCATGATCCTGGAGTCCTGGATCAAGTCTCGCATCAGGCTCCCTGCTCGGCAGGGAGTCTGCTTCTCCCTCTGACCCTCCCCCCTCTCATGTGCTCACTCTCTCTCATTCTCTCTCAAATAAATAAATAAAATCTTTAAAAAAAAAAAAAAAAAAAAGGAGGGACGTTTGGGATGGTGGTAGGAGGGAGCTCGAAATGGTAACTCTGGAAGTCAGGCTCGGTAGGGAGGAAAGAAGCGCCCTGTAATTTGGGAATTCTGGTATCTGTTTCCTGAGGGGTGGTGGTGGCATTTCCTATTACTGATCGCCTTTTCCCTGCTCAGATAGCCCCTCAGGCCACACAGTTTCTCCTAAGGGAAGGGAGTGTGGTGGGCAGACAGCGGGCCTCTGCTCCAAGGGCTGCAGTACTCTATTCTCTGCCCACTTGAGCTGAACACAATTGCAAATGGAAACTTCTGCTGTATGTATTGTACTGAACAGTCTCTGTTTGCCCACCTTTGATGTATGCTTCACCCTCCCTCACTTTGGTCTGTGCCCTCAGAGGCTGACCTTCATACGCCATCAGTGGGTTCTCTTGCCCTCTGGCTTCCAGTTGGCTTTTGGCAATGGGGTGGAGAGGGTCAGGGGACCAGAAACCTGGAGGAAAGCAGTATTGGGTTTTATTCCCACGGCTCCCTACCTGCCGGGCCATGGGATGACAGTGACCACATGGCCCCAGTCTTGCTTCCTCTCCAACAACTTTCTGGATTCCAATAACCCCTCCCCTACCTTCTTCCCCCCTTCAGACATGGTGGGTGATTGTTCCCCATGAGAGCCAGCCTTGTTGGTTTCCATGAAGCACCTTCCTTTGTGAATAGCCTGTGTGCTAACTTATCTTCAGTGACCTCCTTGAATGCGCCATCTCTTTCCTAGGAGACCCGGGGCAGAAACATATTCCGTGTTAAAGGTAGTATTGTATAAGAGTGGGGTCAGCAAACTGACCTGGACCTGGTAATCAAGTTTTACTGGAACACAGCCGTGCCCATTCACTTACCCGTTGTTCCTGGCTGCTTTTGTGCAGAATAATCATAGCAGAGACCAAATCGCCTGGGAAGCCTGAAATATTTACCATCTGGCCCTTTACAGAAAAAGTTTGTCTACTCTGTAGTAGAGAAGAAAGAATGAACTTGGCCGAGTCACTTGACCACCTCAAACCTCACCTGTAGAATAATAGTGATAGCTCACAAAGTTACTGTAAGAACTGAGCCTATAATCAGTCTCTGTTTTCAGGAGTTGCTGTCCTTTGAGGATGTGGCTATGTACTTCACCAGAGAAGAGTGGAACAAACTTGAGCGGGCTCAGAAGGACCTCTACAGAGATGTGATGCTGGAGAATTACAGAAACATGATCTTGTTGGGTAATGACGTGGCTTGAAGATTTGGCTCTGAGTGTCTACACAAGTCCTCAGTCCCTTACGTGCAATTTCAAAATCAGAGAAACTCCGAAAACTAGTTTTTTCCCCATAATTCATTTAGCGGCAAGACCCAACTTGTGAAGTCCTCAGGTGGTAAAACCTGATCTCTTCCTACAAGAAGCTATGTCTCATCCCTATTTTTCCCAGTTGGTCTTTGTTTTTGTTTTTCCCACTTGGTCTTTGTATCTATCTATTTAGCATCAGAAATATCAGTGTGTTTGAATAAGGGTACATCTCCAACCCCTGCTGGGGGCGGGACGTAATAGAAAATATACACACCAAGTTGCCTTTCTAAAATCTGGAAAAAATTCTGAATCCTGAAACACGTCTGGCCTCAAGGTTTTCAAATAAGGGATTGTGCACAAAGAATAGTTTCCTTTTGTTTTAGAGGTCAGAGATGCTAAAACTCCCCACCCCGATCCACATCCTCCACATCTGTAAGACCTGTATGAGCTGAAAAGATTATGGCTGATTTGGATTCCAAAGGTTAGCTTCTTTTTCTCTGTCTTCTCTCTGGAAATGGGTTCCTTCCTTGTTGGCAGCATCACCAGGTATCCAGGAAACGACTCTTAACTGACTTCATTTCTGAACCTTCACTGCTTCTCTCCTCGGGGAGCCTGCCTTTGTCTTATTCCAGTGCAGAGTCTTCTCCTGTGGGTGTTTCTTCCACAGATAGCTTGCTTTCTGGGGCCACAGCTTTGACCCCCACATTGACAGTCTTGCCACAGCCTTGACCACCTCTTTTGGGATTGTCCGCCCACCTCTGGAGTTTCTGATGTCTGTTTTCCTTATGAAAGCATTACAAGAGCAGCCTTGAATACATAGAAGGTACAGGAAATTATGACAGGGAGGGGAGAACATTCAGGGATAACACTTCATATTTTGGAGTAGTTCCTTCTAGTTTTTCTCCCCCTTAAAAAATGTGGCTGAACATATTCTTCATATAATTCTGTAATTCCTTTAAATCTTAACATTACAATATCAGCATTTTCCCTATGCTATTAAAAGCCCCCATAAATATAGTAAATGACCATAATGTAATTCTATTGTATGATCTATAATATTTAATCATTTTCCCATTTGGGGATATTTAGTTTGGCTTTTTTTGTTGTTGTTGGCTTGCTTATGGATTTATCATTTTCTATATTCTAATGTTTTAATGGATGTTTCTGACCATAAATCCTTATATAAATTTCTGACTATTCCCCAAGATACAGAATTTTGGTGTTAAAGGGTATGGGTACTTTCAAGTCTCTTTGTATTACCCAATGACTTTTCAATAACAGAGTAGGAAATAAAAATCCTCTGCAGGCCCACTGCCCAGAAATGATCCCCGTTAATGTTTTCTTGGACTTTTTATTCGTCTTTTCATATATATGTATACTTCTGTACATTTACACCCACATGCATAGTTTTTAAGAACAAAATTTGGATCGTACTTCACATGAGTTTTGCATTCGGCTTTATAATAATACATAGGGAACATTTTCCCATTTTAATATTCTTGAACACATGGATTTTTAGTATCTGCCGAATACTTTTGCCTTCACTGCATTCAAATGCTATGCTGTAGACATTGCCCTGTTGATGTTTACTTTATTTCCAGCTGTGCACTGGTACAACTCTGCTGAACGGCTCTGGTCCATTCATCTTGGTCCTAATTGTTCCATAGACTCTAAGAGTGAAATTACCACATCTAAGGCTGTGATGATTGTTGAAGCTTTCCATAAAGATTGTCAGATTGTGCCAAATTCTATTCCCACCAGCCCTTTTGATTATTGTCCTTATCTGTTTGCCACTGTAGACCCAAGGGGGTTAAGCTGAGGTCTAGGACATCTCTCCATAACTCACTAACCACATCCCATTTACTTCTCCATGAGTAGGATTTCAGTTTCCCAAACCTGAGGTGATCTGCCTGCTGGAGCAGTGGGAAGAACCATGGATCCTGGATCTACCAAGAGCCGGGACTAGGAAGGCTTCCAGTAGTGCTTGCCCAGGTGGGTGAGGAGAAGGCCCAGTTGAGTGGAAATCCTGAGGAGGCAGGAAAGCCACATTAATGAAGCCCCTTGTGTTGCCCCAGAGACTGAGCCAGGGGTTTGGTGTATCTCCTCCCACTTTTTCATCCCTGCTGCCCTCTGAAGGTAGTATGTGTGACCATTAGCCCCATTTTCCAGATGAAGAAACTAAAAGATTCAGGGGCGCCTGGCTGGCTCGGTTGGTGGAGTGTGCGAATCTTGATCTTGGGGTCATGAGTTTGAGCCCCACGTTGGGTGTAGATTACTTAAAAATGAATAAATAAACTTTGAAAAGATTCAGGTATCTGTCACACAGATTAATAGTTGGGATTCGATTTCAAGTCTGCAAAGCTCAGCCTCATTCCATTGCAGTAGAATGCTTCTCTGAAGCAGCCGGTCTGACAGTTCTTATGTCAAACTAGATATTCCTTATTTTACCCTCGTTACTTATCCTTCCTCTCTATTTTCTCTTGTTCCTTTGCTTTCATTTTGTTTTTCATAGTCCCACAGTGTTTCTTGATGTACCTGCTTTTTCCTGCTATGTCCTGATCGCTGCTTCTACCTTATTCCATATCCTCTGCTCCAGAGTTTATCAACCTCTGCTCTATTGACATTCTGGGCTGGATAATTCTTCACTGTGGGGAGCTGTCCTGTGTATTGTAGGATGTTTAGCTCTACCCACTAGATTTGAGTAGCACCACCCCAGTTGTGACCACCAAAGATGTCTCCAGACATTGCCAACTGTCCCCCAGGAGGCAGAATCACCCCTGGTTGAGAACCACTGCTGTATTCCCTTGGCTTTTTTACCTACTTCTATCTGGTTCCTTTCCTATTCTATCTTACACTCCCCATTTTAAGGAGTTGTTTCTCCCAGAACTATTGAAAACCTGCTTATCGACAAAGTAGAAGATGTTCCCTCTCCTACATTACGTCACACTACTGAGTACCCAGAGTAAGTTATTTTTCCAGTAGTCGTGATGGGTTTGTTCGATTCTCCCTTCTCTGGCACACACTTGTGCATTTTTCTGTCAGCTAGTTGATGTCCAGAACTTTTTCTGCTATTGAAGCTGGGAGCCCTGTGAAAATCAGAGTTTTGGCCTCTTTAGCCTGATGACGTAACGAAGCGGGCACTTCTTAGCTTCATTTGAGTGTCTGGTAGCACACACAGCTGGCTGCTTTTTTTTTTCCTTCTGTGGTGCACAGGTCATTTCTGTGTTTTCTTTTTATTTGGTTAGGCTCTGAAGCCAGATGCAAGACGAAAAAGCCAACTCCAAAGCAGAAAATTTCTGAAGATTTAGAGTTGTCAGTGGTAAAGCAGACAACGGCCAAGAGATCTGCAGAAAGGTCACATAAATGTAATGAATTGGTGGACGTTTACAGACTTGCATTCCCCACTCTTGGTGATGAATGCCACAAGGACTTCCTTCAAAACCTCCACCTTACTCAAGATCGGAGTGCCCAAATAAGGAAGAAGCAGGGCAAATGTGAGGAGTATGGAAAACCTTTCAATCAGAGATCGTTGCTTTTGCGGCATAAGCAAATTCTTACAAACGCAAAATCTCATGAATGCAGTGAATGTGGAAGAGTCTTCAGGCGTCAGGCAAATTTCATTCGACATCAAAGAATTCACACATCAGAGGATCCCTTTGAATGCGACATATGCGGGCAAGCCTTCAAACATAAGTCTACTCTTCTTGTCCATAAACAGTGTCACCCTCAAAAAAAGCCATATAAGTGTCATGACTGTGGAAAATTTTTCCGTCAGATGGCATATCTTATTGAACATAAAAGGATCCATACCAAAGAAAAGCCCTATAAATGTAGTGAGTGCGAAAGAACGTTTAGTCAGAATTCAACCCTTATTCGACATCAGTTAACCCACAGTGGAGAAAAACCCCATAAATGTCACGAATGTGGAAAGGCCTTTGGTCGGCATTCGACCCTTCTGAGCCATCAACAGATTCATACTAAACAAAACACTCACAAATGCAGCGAATGTGGAGAGTCCTTTAGCCGGAATGTGGATCTCATTCAGCATCAAAGAACCCATACCAAGGAGGAATTCTTTGAATGTAGAGAATGTGGAAAAACTTTTAGTTTTAAGGCAAATCTTCATCGCCATGAGGTCATTCATACTGGAGAGAGACCCTACAGATGTGACAAATGTGGAAAATCTTTCATCTGGCGCACAAGCTTTATTAAGCATCAGGGTACTCACAGAGAACGGATATCAATGTGATACTAACTGGAAAAAGACCATTTAAAGACCAGAACTTACCACTCTTGTAATTATGTGTAACTTCATTGTTTTATAAAAATTAATAAACAGGAATTGAAATGGTTTTGCTGTGGGGACCCTCTTTTTGTAGCTAACCTTCTTGCTGGAGTCAAGAATTAATAGAACATGTAATAGTCTGTCATGTTCAGTCTCCGTTGAGCTCCTCATACCTTCATTGTCCCAAGTCCAGGCGGAAGGGAGGCATAAAAACTTTGTGGTTCCCTAGGCTGGAGACCATTTGATGGATTATGAACGATGTAGGAATACTTTTCTTATTTCCTGTATAACTGGGGGGAAAACGTTTTTAAGTCAAAGAAAGGTGTAAAAAGATACTTTTCTTGGTTTTATGTAGAAAAATTACCTGATACTACATTGACTTTTTAAAAGTAAAATAAGGGCTACTCACAAGTAACTCGTGAGATATTAAGAATCACTAAAATTTGGGCACCTGGCTGAGGCGTTGTGAGTTCAAGCCCCACTTTGGGTGTGGAGCCTGCTTTAAAAAAATTACTAAAATGTACCCAGAAACTAAAATTAGCGTGCTACTAGATTTCTATTCAGAGTTCTAAGTCAACTGTTAATAGTTGGCCTGCCTGCCCTCTGCTTACTCCCTCTTTTGGGCTTCATCTGAGTTGCACCGTGTGTCTCTTGGCCTGCAGGCTTTTTCTAAAACCACAAAAGGCCACTGCTCTGTAGGGTAACTACATTGTGTGAGCAGGCCTCAGCTAATGCTTGATGGGAATTTCACAAATAGGATCCTCTCCCCTTGGGTGGAATATCTCTGAAACATGTATTTTACACTTGTTTTCGGTTTTGCCATGGGATTATGCATTCACTCACCTTGGCAGCTGCTTTATTAGCGGTCTTCCCTGCTCTGTCTCTTCTATACTCCCCTCCCAGTGTTTCAACACTTCTCCCCACAAGTGAGTTGCTTGCGTTCAGAAAGTGTCGACTGTAGTCCTCGAGGAGCCCTAGGTTACATAGGTTGAGCTGACCATATGACTCTTCCCTACAGCTCACCAATACAAGAAACCCATTTGAAATTCTAATATCCTAAGCATCATCCTAGGTCTGCAATATAAACTATTTGGACGCTCTCCTATAAATCCCCTCTAGTTTCTTCTTGGTTTTATTTTCTTGCTCCTACCAATTCCATGACTTCTCACCCAACATATAAAAACAAAGATCTATTGAGAAAAAGGAAGTGGCACCTCAGAAAATTAAGGAATCTTGAGCCTTGCAGGAGGAAAATAGTAATAGACTGTATATTGGGTTCAAAAAGCAGTAATTTTGTACTGGTCGGCATGAATTGGCTAGAAGAACCTAAACAAAGTTGACTTCTGACTGAGGGGGAAATAAGCCAGTGAGAGATAAGTCCCACTTAAAACAACCTAGGGAGATGGGGACCTATGAAAAGTGCTTCCCTCCACTGCTAAGTGGAAGCCATAAAGCTCCCTAATAAAGCAAGCAATCAATCAATCAAGTGCCTGGTAGGCTCAATTGGTGGAGCATCTGACTCTTGATCTTAGGGTTGCAAGTCCGAGGCCCATGTTGGGTATAGAGATTACTTAAAATCTTTAAAAAGAAATACATACATACATTTAAAAAAATGGCACTTTGGTTTCCTGATGGCAGCTCTCCATTGCATGGATGAGAACTGATTTGGAAATCCGCAATCTGGTCTGGGGAGTCTGTTACAGGCATACACTCAGCTATGGGAGAACTAGAGGCATGCCCTAAAGGCTATTCTTGGGCTGTGGCCAAGAGCTAAACTAAGCCATACAGTCTGGCAAGTGGGCCTTGGACAATTAAAAATAATCATCAAAGTGGGGAGCCCAATTATGATAAGCCCTTTGCCCACCAGAATAATCAGGGTGGATTCTGAAGATAACAGACGTTCTAGGCGAACCACTTGAAGTGGGCAATGTGGATATGTGGGCATCCACGATGAGTGGCCACGGAGGCTCCCAAGCCATGTTGTGTCATAAGACCCCACAGTCCATTGTGACACCTGCTGGGGCACCACTGGTTGCCAAAGACTGTTCAGAATCCTGCCAGGTTAGCACAATGGGAAGTGGGCTCACCTGCTCAGCCCCACCCCACTGCGTGTGCCTAGAAGATGGCCCTGCCCCACGTCCCTTAAAGGAACCTCAGATGCCTCACGACCCTCTGGTCCCTCACTCTCTGGTGGGGTTAGTGAGAGGGCCGTCTACACCCCAAAGCCTAAGGGCACCCAGCCCAGCCCTCTCACCGTCCCTCCTGCTGGTTTCAAGGAGGGTCCAAGGAGAAGACGTGCACTACTGTTCCATCACATCCAGGATCAAGGAAGTGAGCTCTGGAAGGCAAATAATTTAGTTTTGGTTTTTGAACATTTAGGGAATGAAAATTAAGATGAGGTAAGGTGACAAGGCTAGAGTAGGACACTCAGAATAGAATAATTTGGTACTCGCTTTGGGGGAGAGAAACTAGGAAAGTGTATTAGCTCACATACTGACCAAGGAATTCTACTTCTGGGAATCTAGCCTTAGATTCTAAAGAACAATCCAAATTATACTGACATTCACTATAGCACTGCTTGCAACAATGAGGAGAAATGCCTGAACTATCCAATAAAAGGAAAATGGCTCCATCATTATGTCCACTTGATGGAAAATGATGCAGCCATTAAGCGTAAAGGTTATGAAAACCATGTAAAATCCTTAAGACATAATATTAAAAAGATGTAAAATATAAACACTATGATTTTCATTATATGAGAAGTATGCAGAGAAAAAATTCAGAAGGAAATATGACAAAATGCCAGTAACGGGTGATCAGTGTGGTAGGATTATGGGTAATTTCCTGTTATTTTCCCAAATATCCAATAATGTCCTTATATTCCCTTGATCAAAAACAAAGGGCGCCTGGGTGGCTCAGTTAAGTGACTGCCTTCGGCTCGGGGCATGATCCCAGGGTCCTGGGATCAAGCCCCACATCAGGCTCCCTATTCAGCGAGGAGCCTGCTTCTCCCTCTCCCTCTGCGGCTCCCCCTCCCTGTGTGCTCTGTCAAATAAGTAAAATCTTTAAAAAAAACAATAAAAAACACAAAAACAAAAACCCCCAAACAGGTTCAAAAAGAACTTAGATACAATACAGGCTCGTGTGTAGAAGTGGAAAGGTAAGGGACGCCTGGGTGGCTCAGTCGGTTAACTGTCTGCCTTCGGCTCAGGTCATGATCTCAGGATCCTGGAATTGAGTCCTGAGTCGGGATCCCTGCTCAGCAGGGAATCTGCTTCCCCCTCTCCCTCTTCCCTCTGCTTGTGCTCTCTCTCACAAATAAATAAATCTTGAAAAAAAGGGAGGGGGCAGCCTGGGTGGTTCACTCGGTTAAGCATCTGCCTTTGACTCAGGTCATGACCCCAGGGTGCTGGGATCGAGTCCCACATTGGGCGGGGAGCCTACTTCTTCCTCTCCCTCTGCCTGCTGCTCCCCCTGCTTGTGCTCTCTCAAGTAAATAAATAAAATCTTAAAAAAAAAAAAAAAGTGGAAAGGTAAGATCGGCTTAGGCTTCGTGGCATGCCTCGTTTAATCCACCAGAGACAATAAAGCCAACCCCATATCCTTCCTTCACCAGTCACATGGGTGGAAAGATGGCTCTGGGGAAGTTAAAGAATGATCAAATTTGAAACCCTTTGAGAGCTGGTGTTTCTCGTCATGATGCATGTGCACAAGCCAATGGCCCTCCACCATTACTACCACGGAGGTGCTCCAGCTGGGCAGAGGGGAGGCGGGACGGGACGGGGAGAAGAGGCAAGCCATGGTGGGGTGGGAGCCCAGTGCTAACTGCAAAGAAGAAACTCACGTTACTGGACAAGCAGTCAGATCACCTGAGTTCTTTTTTTTTTTTCCTTTTTTAAGTAGGCTCCACACCCAGCATGGAGCACTGGACTTCAACTCACAACCCTGAGATCAAAACCTGGGCTGAGATCAAGAGTCGGGTGCTTAACTGACTGAGCCACCCAGGTGCCCCTGCTCACCTAAGTTCTGAAGCATCAACTGTGTGCCTTCACTTCTTCCTCTCTACCTGGGAATGACATAAGTCCCTACTTACCTCATAGGGTTGCTAGGAGTCAAATGGAAAAATGTCTATGGGTGCATTTTATGAACAGAGTATTATGTCAGTGAATACTGGTCGCAAAACAAGCAAGAGCTGAAGGAGCTTCTGCCTTTGGTGACCTTTTGCGGAACACGCTCCAGAGCACTTCCTTATGTCCCATACATTAAGAAGCCTTGACAGAAAAAAACGTGTTTTAGGCTATTTGATATCACAAGAGCCTCCCTCCTCTCCCCGCCAACACCCAAAGCTTACGAAAGGTTTAGGGAGGACTTTCATCAAAAACCAAAAGTTTTCAAATAGAGGCCCTTAAATTTAACTAGCTTCGAAAACGATACAGTGACAGGAATTAGTGGGTGTGTTTGGGTGGGGCCTTCCTTTGCTTCTCATTTAAAAGGAAATCAACAGGAGTTATAAAACTGAACTCCTAGAATGGGGAAGAGAAACTCTGCAAAATTAATGTTTAGAAAGTAAAAAATACAGAATGCCTCTTGCATGCACCAAACTTTACACGGTGTTTTGGATTATCGTGTATTTGAAATCCTGTCCACCATTGAGGTAGAAAGATAATTTAAAAAAAAAAAAAGGAAAGACAACTCTAAGTGACTAAAATATTTCTCAGGGAAGTAAGTGGAGTGGGCAAGGCTTGGGTCTGAAAGTGGAGGTAAGAAGAGGGAAGAGACAAGGACAGAACTGTCACATGTCGGAAGGCCCTTCCATGCAACCATCCTTTGGAAGGGCTCCCCATTTACACATTCCTACTTCACTTCGATGCTCTATCTGAGTAGGTACTGAGACTCAAGTCAGACTGACTGATCTGTCTTGGGTGGGATGCCCATGGAAATACGATCCACAATTGACTGAAATACTCCAAATGCCAAAGAATGTAGTTTCTGGACAATGGAAAAAACTAACCAACCAACCAACTAACCAACCAACCAAAACAGCCAGACAGCAGCCATGTCAGAACAGTGGGACTTTATTTCTGTGGATCCTTTGGTGTCGGATAAGGTGTGGACTCTGTCTAAAGCTTTCCCCACATTCAAGACATTTATAAGGCTTTTCCCCAGTGTGGGTCCTCTGGTGTGTAATGAGGGTTGCGCTCTGACTGAAGCGCTTCCCACACACAGAACACCCATATGGCTTCTCACCGGTGTGGACTCTCTGATGTTTAGAGAGGTCTGAGCACCGTTTGAAGCTCTTCTCACATTCTTCACACGTATAGGGTCTCTCCCCTTTATGTATCCTCTGGTGTCTGAAGCGGTTGGAAGTGCGGCAGGTTTCCCCACATTCGTTACACTTGAAGTGTTTCTCTCCCACGTGGATTCTCTGGTGCCGGTT